CTCTTTCCCACTGTGGGCTGGGCTGATTTCAGATAACTCTGTCTCGTAGCTTCCTGGAAAACATCTCTGTAAATTCTATCACATTTACATTCAGTAGAAACCCTTTACCCCTCAAAAATTTTACAGTTGATCTCCACTGGAGAAAGATATTTTTAGCAGCTGTCTTTGAAAACTAGGCTTTTAACCAGACTAAATTCCCAGTAGTCATCAATAAATACAGAATTGTTTGCAGTGGAGTACTGTAGCTGGCTTTTGAAGATACATTTGCTATAGTATTGCTCAGACTTCTTAATAGATGATCTCAGATAGCCTTTAAATTGCATATAATATCATTGCCAGATAATATCATTCTGTCTTGAAGTTTGGTGTGAGAACATGTTTTCCTCCTTTTCATGATGCAAGGCTTGATCCTGTATGATGCAAAATTCCCTACCCAGGTGTAGCAAGGTGCTCATGCACATGAACGAGCTAGAATTGAGTATATAAGCCAGGCAGACCCGTGACTGAGCTAGACCTACTGACCTTGGTGTTAGTCTTAAGCCAGTGCCCGAATGCTAAAGTGGGATGAGAATGCTCAGCAGACCTGAGGCACGAGTGTTGGCCAGTAGCGCAGGCAGATGAAAGGCAGCATTGCCTTCAGAAAATGGTAACTTTTTCTCCTTCTTTCACCTCCAGGTCCTACTTAGACATGTATAAGGTGATAATATTTAGTTACCTCTTCTGGTTTGTGCTTACTATAATCTTCATAACCGGAACCACAAGGATCAGCATATTCTGCATGGGCTACTTGGTAGCCTGCTTTTATTTCCTTCTGTTTGGCGGAGATCTGTTGCTAAAACCCATCAGGAGCATTTTGCGTTACTGGGACTGGCTGATTGCCTACAACGTCTTCGTGATCACAATGAAGAACATCCTCTCAGTAAGTAGCTGCTGCCTTTCCTCTGCCCTCAGCATTTTGGTTTCATTGGAAGTGTGCACAGTGTGTTGAATGGTCATTAAAAATCCTTTTGCAGGACCACAGCCTTCTACAAGTGCAAAGCAGGCTCCATTTTAATTCAGAAACTACAAGTGCATATCCAGGGAATGGTAATGCATATACATTATAGGAAAATGTGCACCCTTGTATTCAGTCGGGCTCTGTGAAAGCTTACAAGCTATTTTCAAAGGGCCAGATTCTTTGCCTAGTAAAGTTCCTCCGTAGAAGTCTTGTGAAAATCTCAGTGGAGTGAGAAATGAGTAAAAAGTGCAAGATTAGTCATACTGTCAATAAATAGTGCACATTTATTTAAACTTTTTATTTAAAACTAGAATTTTCAAGCCTAGTACTAGATGCAGTTGTCATGTGATGTAATTAGTGAAGTTGACTACAGAATTACAAACTGCATTCCTGTTGCTTTTAGAACTAGTGTGAAATTCAGGTGAAAATGATATATTTGATAATTAAATGCCAAATTCTTCTGCAAAATATTAAAGGTTTTCTTATGTTAATTAACTCTATAGAGTGGATTCTTGCAGTGGCACTGATAGGTGATTGAGACAAGCCAGTTATTTAAAACTTTTTGAAAGATAAATTTAGATTTATTCCTGGCAATTGCTTTTTAGCTTTGAACATTTTTAGTGCTGGACTGCAAAAAGCAGACATTTTTCTTTTAACATTTATATAAGTCACTGTACTGAAATAAAATTGATTTATGGGTGGTTTGAATTTGCAAATGTTCTGAATGCTTACATATGTGCTTCATTTTATGCTTGGGAATTCAGTGGAGCTACACGTGTGCTAGGCTTGTTCATGTATGTTTGCAAGATTCAGTTGGTGATTTGTAAAAGTTGCTTAGCTGTCGCATTGCATCACATACCAGACGGATCACTTTTTCTGCAAAAACACAAACAAAACCCACGTACCTCCTATCTCACTGATAATCAAAGGAACAAATTCTTGTTCTTTAAAATTGATGTGTGTCACTGGTAAAGACACTCTTTCTTCTAATCTCTGTTTTACTAATGAGATATAATACAGCCTATGGCAGTCACAACATTCTCATGTAATGTAAAGAGGTGCAATACTTTTCTTATCTTTATTTCTGTTATGTTTTATTATATGAAACTGTTGTTTTACTTTCCAGATAGGAGCATGTGGCTACATTGAATCATTAATTAAGAATAGTTGCTGGTTGATTCAGGCATTTAGCCTGGCTTGTACAGTTAAAGGCTACCGTATTCGTAAGTACAGCTCACTTTTCTTCATAATTTTCTATAAACAAAGAATCACCTTCAAAATCTTTTACCATATTTAACTGGTGCCCCCTCCTGCCATATTACCTTGTGAAAACATCATACCTGAAAGGTCAGTTGTACAGCTTGGTCTTATATTGACTACCAAGAAAGAATATTGGAAACATTTCATAGAGCCAAAGGAGACATATATACTGAGAGAATATCAACACCCCCACACACATACCCACAACCAGTGTTTGCTGTAAATGAACAATGTGGCGATACCAGCGCTTAACACAATTTCCCTGTACGTGCAGATTATGTGATACTTTGAGGGTATGGTTTCACTGTACAACTGGAGCTAAAGTGTCAGCTCACCATCATTGCAAGGAGAGGGCACCTTTGCCCAGCTGCAGACTCCCACTGTCTGCCAGGTCTTATGTGCAGTTGCTCAAAGGGTAAACCAGTTCAGCTCACTGAGCTGAGGCTAAGCAAGCATAAAAGTGGTAATTTTTGCAGGCATAGTGAGTTTAGTCAATTTTTTTCGTATGGTTATGCTTACATTTGTGGTGATAACAGAGAGGGAGTGGATAGTCTATGTGGATGGAGGTGAGAGAAGGGAGGAATGAAGTATGGGCAAGCAAGACACTTCACCTCTCAGTAAGCTATTAATTTGGTTCTACTTTGTCCTGACACCCTGGATTGATGGTTTGAAAAGACCTGACTTTTTTTTTTCAGTGGTTTTTTTTTTGCTGAATTTAAAGAACTGTTTCATCCTAGTGAGTCTGCAGCAAAGTTCTGAATTCCTGTCTTCATTTCAGATCCTCATAGAAAAGTGGAGAGTAGGGGAAAAGAAAGGACATACAAAGACACAAATTCACAAGATAAATGCTACCCAGTAGTTCTTGTGTTATCCAAAACTTTTTGAGCCACAACAGAAACTTAGATACAGGTTTCTGACTCCCCAAGGGATGGGCACAGCAGGCTTTGAAGCTCTTGGAGCTTGACCTTCCAGACCTATTAGACTGGTTTGCTGGATTGTAAAGCCAGCTTTGAGCCAGAGTCTGTCCCTTGAGTCCTTCTGCTCCCTTCTATAGGGCAGCATAGGCCATTTAGTTTACGGTCTAGCTCCACAAAACCCAGTTTTAATTTTTTAATATCCCCAAGAGAACTGTCTTCTAGAGAATAAAGAAAGAGAAAAAGAAAGAAAGAAATAGCCCAAGCCAAAATCTAGAGGTAGGAGGAATGGGATTTCCTTTCTGCCTGTCTCCTCCTACCCCAAAGGAAGCAGTTTTGTGGTTTCAAATATTTTTTCTCTTATGCAATGGAAAGAAACATTGAATTGAGTTGTGGAGAGGAAAAATAAAAAAATTAGCTGGTGGCAGTCAAAAAATTATTTTGACAAAAATAAACCACTTCTTTTTCATGTTGATAGTGTTCTTAATAGAAAAATGAGGCAAAAAGTCACTTTGAAATAAAAAAAAATTGAAATGTAATTTTAAAAAATACTGAAATAAAATATTTCAGGCTAACAAAAAAATACTTTTCCCCCATTCTTTATTTTCAAGTACTTATTAGGATAGGGCAAATTTGTTTGCAAATGGTTCACTTTTAGTCAATTCTCAGTTTTCATGGGATATCACATTGTTGGAAGCTTTCCAGTTTGCTGTAAAAGAAACTATGGTGTACTTTAAATGGAAATGCATGTCAGTTTTCTTAAAAAAAATGTAATTATATTACCTCAATTCAAATAATTTTAAAGGCTAAGACTATTTACTTGATTAAACATTATAAAAGAATACTTAATACAACAGTCCTTATGCTGATGGTGTCTTTTTCCAGCTACCAACAATCTAGATTGTAAACTGCCCAGTGGAGAAGCAGGAATCATTTGGGACAGTATATGTTTTGCTTTCCTGCTGCTGCAAAGAAGAGTCTTCATGAGTTACTACTTCCTACATGTGGTTGCAGATATAAAAGCTTCTCAGATCCTAGCATCAAGGTAACATAAAGTTTTAAAAGATTAAACGAAACAGCTCAAGTCTCTCATGGCTATGGTACTTTATTTATGATAGGTAGTACCAAAAGAGTGCTTTAACATTAGTTTAAACAATCCATGCTAAATTCATAATTGCAAACCCCACACATGAGAAAACAAATTAATAGAGAACTTGATAGAAATTAAACCATCTTTCCTACCAAACACCATCTGCTGCTCTCATAGCCGATGTTAAAAGCTGTGCAAGTTGGTGTGTGTTGCAGCATTCTCTCAACATCAGTGTGTATAAGAGTGAATGCCAGAGTTTCTAAGCCTTGGAAAGAGAACACTCTGCTATATCAGGCCTGTTTGAGACAATCATCGGCCTTAGAAATCAAGACTCAAAAAATGTCACATGTGGAAAAATGTGGGACAGTTATGACATCTGACCATCAGGAAGGAGCTCGGGAAGCATCACATCACTGAACACTGATTAGCTGTGGCAAGGAAGTATCACCTTCTTTGGGCCTGTTACTTATACTTCCCCACAAGCATCCACTCATAGCTATCACTAGCACAACCATTCTTCTGGTTTTTAATCAGAAGGCAGATCAGGAATGAAATTCTGTTTTTAATGTCAGTGATTTCTAAGGAATTACTTTTGGAATATTGAATTAAATGTGTTGTGGCTTTTTTTTTTCCCCCAACAACATATGGACGTTGATTTCTGTCTGTGTTTGAGGGCAAAATTCGGCTTGTGTTTCCTGAAAGGAGGTATTTTTTCATCTTCCTCTTCTTGCCCCTCCAGGGATTACTTTAAAAAGGGGACATGTTTAGCTGCCCATACTGCACAAAATTCACCACTGTAAAGAGGGATACCAAAAGATCTGTACCTCCATCCCATATTGCCTCTGTCAGACTTTTGCTCTGGGTTGAATTTCAGTGCTGGTGCCCAAGATTGCTGGATACTGGCTGTTGTAGCTTTTTTGGTATGCTGTGTTCATAGTGAAATAGCACAAAACAAAATCATGAGTATCAAAATGCCTCCTAAATTGAAAAGTTTACATCCAGAAGGAAAGAGCAGGTGCATGTAAATGGCACTGGGCTGGGATGAAAGAAACATGTTTGGTTCCTACTTCCAGTTTTGTATCTTTTGGTAAGTTACTGACCCTACTCAGGCTTGAGTTCTCCAGCAGCAGAAGTGGAGACATACTAGCCTAAGTCAAGAGCTTTGTAAAGATGGATGTATTAATGACCAGGAAGTACCACGATATTACAGGAAGGAGGGAGGAGGGTAATATAGATATAGTGATATAATTAATTTTTTTAGTTAGCTGCTTGCCTTGCTAAAATCCAAGCTTTGAATTACGTGGACAATGGAGAAGGTCAGGTTTGGATTCAGACAGCACGGGCTGAGCCATTTCTTCTAGTTAAAGTTAATATTGTGAAATAGAAATACCTCAACTAAAAAAGATTAAATGGTGATTGAAACAATAGCAATGAGGATCGAGTGACAGTTTTCAATAGTCCATAAGAATTTAGGAGTGATGAAGTTGCTGAGGAGAACATGTCTTTCTTTGTTGTACTTTATCACAACTTTGGGATGGTAATGATGCCCAGTCTTGACTGTATTCCTTTGAAAAAATGTCGTTGTGGTTATCCTGCTTATTACATGGAAGAATGATTAATCTCACAGAAAACGTAGTTGAAAAATTAATTAGAAGTGGACTTCTGAAACTATAGCTGTTCTTACTGAATTCCTGACAAAGGAAAGGCTTTAAATCTATGTTACTTCTTTGAGAGAGACTTTGAGGGTCTTTGAGAGTCTTCAGGAGCTGATGAATGAATAATGAAGAATGGCCAAGACATGTGATCTGGACATCCAAATCAATGAGTCAATTACATTTCTAATGAAATGCAGTTAGAAGTCATATTCTTTTAGCACACTAGAAACTTGTTCAAGGATTTGTGTCATCAGATTGAAAGCACTGTACTGTTCAGAGGGTAAAAGTGAAGCTGAAGCTATGCTCGTCTTTGCCCCTGGATAAAGCTGAACTTTACTCACAACTTCCAGGGGGCTGAGGCAGGGGGACAAGGTGATTAGAACACTGAAATGACTATAAAGACCAAATCCTGGAGGTGTGCAAGAAGTCCTGACTCAGCCTTGAACCCACTTGTGTTCTGTGTTCTTCAGAACTAGAACCTAAATTCCTTGAACAGCTGCGAGAGGAACTTAGAGGGCTGAGTGGGGATCACAGCGTTTGGTCCCAGATCTTGAAACAATTGACTGTAAACAGATTAGTTTTCTGGAGTAATTTATTATTTCTTTCAGGCCTCGGATTAGTTTTGTTTTATGCAGATGGGGTCGTGTACAGAGGGAGCACAAAGTTGTCTGTGATTAGGTGGCATAAGGGAAACTTAGAAACATTTAATGTTTCCTTTTTTCCTTTCTTCTGTCCCCATTTCTGCTGTAGGGGTGCTGAGCTTTTCCAGGCTACAATTGTCAAGGCTGTAAAGGCAAGAATTGAAGAGGAAAAAAAATCAATGGATCAACTGAAAAGACAGTATGTATTTAATGTATTTTTATATATATATACACACACATACATATGCATGTATTTCACTGATTGTTGGTATTTATCTAGCACCTTCTTTTATAGAAATGCTGATTAGGTTTTGAAGTATGATTTTGCAATTACAAAAATTGCTCTCTGGGCATTCAGAGATCTTAGATATTCCAATATTATGTACTTTTAGAGTCACCTTTCCCAAAAAGACAATATGCTGCAGAATCTAAACTTTCATTTAAACATAGAATTACATTTCTAGGATGAAAAGTTGTGAGATTAATATAAAGAATCAGAGTGGAATGTACTGACTTACCTGCTCCTCAGTAAGCCTGAAATTGTAATGGAAACAGGTGTTTTCTAAAAATCAAGAGAGAAGATGTGAACCCTCCTGCTTATTCTGAAAGTTCTTCTAAACCATAGAAATCCAATGATGACAGATTAAGAAGATCAGCTTTTAACTGTTCCACACCTGAGTATCACAGCAATATCACCGTATAGTGTTCTCTTTAAGAGATGATCTGTATCTGTGCTATATTTTTTCTCTGTTAGAGGTCCAGCTCAATAGCAGGTTCGGGTTATCCTGTCTTGTGTAGTATAAATGCATGCAATGCAGATGAAATAAAGGGATAAAATCTGTCTTTTTTCCTCTTTCTTTTCTTCCACTAATTATCTAACCTGTTCTCTCAGTTTGTCTCTCCCCATCTCTCAGAAGAGTAGGACAGTCAAATGGAAATCCCCTAGGAAACTTATGAAAAGGGTAGGCAGATTACTAATCAGGGGTGCCACATGAACCTTGTCTCACTTGAAGGTGCAAGCCTAGATGGTTAGAAAATAGGAGACTGAGACACAGGAACTGCATTAAAAAAACTCCCAGAAATTGGAACAGCCAGGGACCTACTTAGGGAAGCTGTAGGTAAGAGCCATCTAAATAGCCTGAAATCCCTTTGGGCTAAGGAAGCTGAGTAACATCCTGGCCCTGCCGCAATGGATGACAATATTCTCGTTGACTTTACCATTATTAGGTTTTTGTTCTCTATATCTGTATTCCTGGTAAAATTTGCTGGATGCCTGTTGCTCCTTTTTCATTTGTGGTTCCTCCTCTAGTGTTTGAGTACGAAATACATATCTTTACCTTCACTGAAAATATTTGTATTCAGCTTAACTAGCCTGGAGATCCTTTCTCTTTTTAAAGCCAATAAGCCACTCACCTCTTTAATAACTATGCAAAGCTTTCAAAGCTCCTCCACCACCATGCATGAAAAGCCATAACTGCTTCCTAACCAGATGTCAAAGCCCACTCCTGACAGGATCTTCCACACCTGCATAACTGAAGAAGCATGAGAAGGCTGCAGGGACCATGCTCCCTACCTGCGTGCCTGGGCTTTCCCACCAGATGATGTTTTGGGCTGTGGCTGGTGCTGTTCTGTGCTTGAATCAATCTTATCCCAACTGACAGGATGTGCCTATCCTGCAAATCATTCTTTTCTGTTGTTCTGCAGAGTTTAAGATCAAGGAGATGATACTGCTTACAATAATGCCAAAGCTAATCTATGTTTGTCTAAAAATTACTAGTTTATATTTGCAGGATGTCTGACTTCAACAATAGAGGATGCTTGTCTTATTTAATTCAATAATGTCCATCAGTACTTCATACAGTTTAGGCTGGTTAGGATGAAGAGAACCATCAGCACAACCATAAGTTCTGAACAACCAAGTTGTCCTGACTGACATAGGGTAACTTCAGCAGCAGATGAATGACAGGGAAAGAAATCTAATCATCTGCTGAACAATAGCTGAGGTGAAAGTTTTTCCCTCGCTAGTGGGTGGTTCTTCTCTAACAAATGGACAAACTAATAAAAATATTTAAGTGCATTTTGATCACTGAAATTAGTGAATCCAGTTGTATTGAAAGAACTTATTCCTGTTGATTTCATATTTTTTTTACTACTGTTTTTCAAACCAAGAAAAAGTACAAGTCTTAAAAGACCAGATTATGCTAACTTTACGGGATTGCAAGAAGGAGAATTGGAAGCTTGCCTACATCTGGACAAAACTGAACCAGTTTAAAAGTGCTCTGTATTTCCAGATATGTGGAACAAATGAGAGCTTAAGGGGCGAAGGTGTAGCACAAATAGTGCAGGAACAGCCACATCCCTGGTTCAGAGTGGCAAGTTTCAGGAAAACCACTGCATTAGGCAAAGTCCTTTTTTCTCAGAGCTTCTTTTGCTGTATTGCAGCTCCTGGCAGCAATTCTTTAATTTTTAAATGATAATAAGATAGTTGAGGGGGAGCAGGCAAAACAGTCACGTGATAACAGGCAACGCAGCTCTTACTGACCAGTGAGCAAACGTCTAGGCTTCACCCTTCCAGCCACCCCCTTCAAAGCCATTTAACTCCTTATGTTTAAGGCCAGGATTAATGACAATGTGGAAGGGATATTTCATTTAGAAATGTTAGAATATGTGTGTGTGTGTGTGTATGTATTTAACACTTGTTTTTCAATGTGAGTCAAAAAGGGTGAAGATGTGAATCTAATAAGATTCTTGCTTTTGCTAGAATGGATCGCATCAAAGCCAGGCAACAAAAATACAAAAAGGGTAAAGAGAGGATGCTAAGCATGACCCAGGAGTCCTCAGAGGGGCCGGAGATTCGGAAGGTTTCTGAAGAAGATGATGAAGGTACCATTAGCTATTGTTGTGCCATAATTGCAGTTGAGCGCTAAAGACCTAATAGACCTAATAGTTGGACAAGTGATAAATTGCTCTTCAAAACTGTCAGCATGTAACCAGGTTGTTAGCTGCGTATCAGTTTGGAGCTTGATTCAGCCCAAAAAATCTGGCATTTTGTACTGCAAGAAGGTTTAGAGAAAATGGTTTAATTTTAAGGTTACTTTTGGTTAAGTTCAGGCTGTTGGCAAATTGCTGAGTAGCAGCAGAGGATTGTTTTGGACAAAGTCATTATCTATAAACCACAGTGTTACCAGTAGGTAGCATCCACATTTTTCCAGCAGTGTTTTCTGGATACTGTGAGGTTTTTTCAGTCACTGAAATGTTGTATACTTTTAAATGTTGTTTAAAACCTGGGAACAGATAAAATGATACCTATCTAGGGCCACATTTCTAGCACTGGCTTGAGATCAGCACTTACTGGATTTGAAATTTTTGGAGTCTCAAATATAAGGGGATTTGAGAGGGGGGGAAATATTTTCTTCTTGAAATTACAGTCAACTGTGACTGTATGTTTTGAAACACAAAACTGAACTTTTTAGCTGTTTTAGAGTAGAATGCTCTTTTAACTGCTCCATAAACCAGAGTAGAGTATTTCTGCTTAGTGGTCATGCTTCTGGATGATTTTAATATTGAATGTATTCAGTAGATCTGACATCTGATGTGCTCATGAAATCTTAGCTCTTTTGAGAGAAATTAAAGATTATTAATCAGTGTAAGAAACGTTTCTCATTTTGTAAAATTAATATTTGGACATATTTTATTTTAGGAGAAGCAGACAAAGAGAAAGCCAAGGGCAAAAAAAAGCTGTGGTGGCGGCCTTGGGTTGATCATGCTTCCAGTAGGTTTTCTCAATCATCTTACAAATATGTGGATTTAACCCTTATATCCTTGACCAGAATGAAGGCATTGCCATGACCTGTTTGTTTTATGCCTGATTTTACGATTGTGACTTGATAGAATGCTTGTTTTTTTCAACAATGATTTCTACTTCCAAACCTTCAAGGAGTGAGTTTAACCATATTTTGAACTTCTGTGTGTTGGAAGCATAGCTAGCTCATGATACTTTGGGCATTCTTAGAAAAACATCAAATCAGATAAACATGTGCCAGAAAGAATCTATTTTGGCCTCAAAAGTCTCAACTCCCCCCTACTGCAGAGCACAATATATTTAAAAATGTGAAGGTGAAGCTTTGCCAATGCATTCTAAGATTAGTCATAATTTCTTTTTCATATACACACATCATACATCTTTTTTTATGGTTCATCAGTCATTCTATTGTCAGCTGTAGAAATCTGAGTACTGCAGTAAGGCAGCAAGACTGTTCCCAGGACTAGGCTGTGTAGAGCTCAGCTGAATATCTCTGATCACACTTTAAGGTACTGTTGATGCCAGTTGTTTTGTTATTTCCTTTTTTTGTTTGTTTGTTTATCTGAAAGCAAAAATATATTCAGCCTCGTGCACAAGAAATTATTAACCTGTGTCACTCATATCATTATTGCACTATGATATTTTAATTTGTTTGAAGCCAAGTCCGGGCATATGATAGAGTCCTTCCCTACATTATGGATTGGGTGAAACAAGAAAAATGAGTAGATTGCAATCTCAAATCAGATATCCTCCTATTGGATCTTTGTTGCAGGAAATCAGACATGAACTATTTAAAAACCTCTGAGGATTTAAAAAATATTCAAGTGTATAGCACCAATATCACTGTCTATATTGTGCTTGGTCATGTAGTTTAAAAGCGTTACTCCAAGTAACTTTTACACAACTACATACTCCTTCATTTACCTACCTGTATTTATTTATAACTCCAGCATATATATTTGCCAACAGCGTTTAACAGAATGTCATATGCTTATTTCTATCAAGTCACAACTAAACTGTGCCTCTATTTTTATTTTTCTAAAGGGCACACTGCCACTTTAGAGAGACCTATCCCTTTTCAAAAGTCCTCTGAAAATAAACTTCTTGCCCTGTAGTTTCATTAAGAACAACAATGAAAATACTGATCAAAACTATAATTTACGAGTTTTTACTGTAGAATTTCAAGCTATGGTGGTTTTGAAGGAATGGGATATGGTCTCTATTCACCACTGGTTTCGTAATAAGAACAACTGTTCAAAGAGAGACATTGACTTTGGCTTTTACTTATTTCACCCTCATTATTTAATGTTCTTAGGTGGCAACTTGTGTTTTAGTATCTAAACAGTGAGCATTCTTGAAATCATTTATTGCAATAATGCAAAACCTTGTGGGAAACATCACAGATTCTGATCCTGAAAACAATGGTTGCCTGCCATGTGGCTTGCATCCACCGTCACTGAACCATGGTACTTACAGTAGGTGTTCACAGGCATACAAACTGGAAATAGACTGATATTCCCCATCTGTTCTTCTTGAAACACTGTGCTGTAACCCTGCAGCATTCTGCTGCACGTGGCTGTTTCTCTCTCACGTGGGTTGGTGGCTGTGACTGTATATATGTGTATGTTGAGGTCGCTGAAGCTTGAGGTTTTGTGCCACTTCTGATCCTTAATTTAGATTTTTATTGTTATTTTTATACCATGTGTTACAATTTTATTCTACAGAAAGGTACCTCATTTTGTATCATAAGAATTAAAACACAGTCATGAATTTGGGTCTGAGTAGAACAGATGGGAAATATCAGTGAGGATTTCCTCATAGACACTCCCTCATGCTCTCACTTGCAGGGAGGTTTGGTTCCTCCTGCACTTGTGGATTACACATGGAGCCCCACAAAGATCGGCATTAGTTAGGGCCACATACTTCAAGGTCCTCAGCTTCTCCTGGGGCACAGAGTTGTGTCTGATGGAGTGCAAAAGATGGTGCTCACAGCTGTCCTGGGGACCACTTTGCTCTGGCCACAAGTAGATGATGTCTCCTCCATCTCATTCCACAAGAAAAGACTGCAAATCCCTTTTCTCAGTAGGAGAAAGTCACATTTTGTAGTAGGAGAGGGGGCCCTCAAGTCCAGTCTGGCCATGAATTATCTTACTAGTAAAATTTGGTCTCTTTATTAATCCCTGCAGGTGACTAACAGACTTCTTGTTCCATTTTGATGTGTGCAAGAATGCATTATTGCTTTTCAATCATACCTCCCTCTTTAGTTGTAAAAGAGACGTAACTGCTACATTAGTGTCCCCTCAGATACACTTTAACCTAAAAATTTTGGAGAGAGATCACTGTAGATTTGTTTTCTGCCAGCTCAGGCGTTCCAAGTCTGACCAGCTGCTACTATGAGACTTTAAGGAACTACACTGCAGTAGAGGTTCCCCCTAGATATCAGACTTTATCCTGCTGATTTTCTGTGTGGACAATTTCTGTTGCTGGTTATAAGATACTTTTTTATGAAAGAGAACTGGAGACTACTGGCTTTTAAAATATGTTCATCTCTTTAATACATTTTAAATGGGCATTCTTAGAAGGCCCTGTACCAAATAATTAATTTGCTTGATCCAAGAAATTTCCAAACTTTCTTTTCACCTCAGTTCAGCAATTAGAACTGCTGAAGTGGACTCTCTGTCCCTCTGCAGGGTGTTCATTGATGTCAAAAGTCATAACTAGGCACATGAGGCACAAAATTTGCTCTGTGAGGGAGTTTTAGCTGCTGAAGTTATGATCCGATAAAGTGCTGGCAAATTTCACGGTGTGCTTACCTTGAGGTTTCTACCGTAGTTGTGCGTGGTCATCTGTGCATAGAGGATCTGTGTAGAATTCAAGGTATGATTGAATTAAAGCAATTGTTACTTTTCCAGAAACCTATAATGAGGGTTAAATATAATTTTCAATATAAATATGTATTGCTCCAGATTGTGTGACATTTCGTCTAAGTAACTGTTCCTTTAAATATTTCAGCTTAAATGTGGAAATTATTTACCAGTTTTCACTGCTGAATGTAATGCTGTGATTTTGATTTTTCTCTTGCTCATTACCTTATTTTTCATTTCTTTTGTTTCCCTTGTTCATTCATGTAGGCCTGTTACCATCTGAGAAATAAAAACATTGCTTCTGTTCAAGGATATAAGGCCTAGCTTATTCACTGTGTATCTTTACTGTATCAAGGTTTCAGAATCTTTCTGAATCCATGGGCAAAAAATTGAAACTCATTTGCGATCACGTTAATAAAATCCAAGTGATTTGTTTTAAACAAACCAAGGTTTTCCATTACCTCATCAAAGCTTAAATGTTTGAAGAAAGCCTTAACTGATACCATCCCATTCCATAGTTTAAAGGATTCCTCAGCATTTTAAAGAGAAGTTCTGTATTTTTTGTCCAGTGGTACTGTTCATGTAAATTCATTTACTTACCTGCTGGGCTTTTTTTAATCCCTCAAATAACCATCAGTTCTCAATTAATTTAGACTTAACTGCCATTTTTTTCTAAAAAAAAAAGTAACTGAGTAACTTGATATACTTTGAGCTTTTTCTTTACATTTTCTTCTCATGGTGATGTTTTCCTTAGTTCTTGTATAGCTCTCATTCATGCCCAAAGTATTGCAGACTGACATCAAATGAATTGCCTGAGAACTTTTCATCTCTCGCTTCTTCTCTGTTTTCACCTCTCCTGGTTATGAATTTTTAAATGACTGGCTGGATGTTCATAGGTCTTGGGGCAGTTGAGAATAGAACTTCTCAGACAAATAAGAAAATATTTTGTTTCACTTAGTGGTCAGAAGTGGAAATTATTATTTGTTTGAGACGGATAGCGAAGAGGAAGAGGAAGAGGAGAAAAAAGAAGAGGAAGAGCCTCGAAAAAAATCTGCATTTCAGGTACTTTATGGTAATTTGCCTTCTAGCTGATGTCTGAAAAAAATGTAGCCTTCTCATAACACAGGCATATGTGTTAAAGCAGCCAGTGCATCTAAAGTAGACCTGAAAAATATTGGAAATTAAATTTCTTGCCAATTTAAAATGCAAGTTTGCCTATTTTAAGCATTGCCAAATTCCTACAGGAACTATAGTGAAATCATATCTTCATTCATTTATGCCTGAGGAAAACAAAAATACAAAACCAAAGGTTTTTAAAGAATCTGAGCTTTATTTTTTCTGCGTTGCAATAAAGACAAGTGAGGAAGCTGACTTGCCTCTGGCACTGCTGTACAATGCTTCAGTGGTTTTCTGGCTTTGAGTAGATGTTGTCATTCCATGAAGAAATGATCCCCAAAATAAGTGACTTTTCATGGAAAAGAATACATACTTAAAAAAAATTTTTTTTTAAAAATTATTGATCCTAGTGGACCAGAGAAATATATCCTTGGGTTATAAAGAGCTTAACATTTTAAACTACAAAAGGAGACCACATCACTTTCTCTCCTTTCTTTTTCAGGATAATATCAATTAATATGCTTGCATTTTAAATTACAGACTCTATGGAAGTAAGAGGATATCGTAATGTTAAAAAAGATAGCTGAAGTTTCCTAACTGGGTTCCTACATATAGACTGGTTGATGTTAGACAGTACCAGGTATTGAATTCACTGGCTTAAATGAAGACCTTGGGTGAACAAGTTAGTGAAATACTCATGCATGTATGATTGCTTTAATCTTCATAAGATTTGCTTGCTGAAGACTTTTCAGAAATACCACAGAACTTTTTCAGGTCTGCAACTTTTAAAGCTTAAACAAACAGGTAGCTTTTTGCAGATGAGTATTCCCATCCTGATGCAAGCTCACGTCACTGCAGAGCTGGTGCACTACTGAAAGCCCAGCCCAAGCAAGAGCAAGAAACTGACACCATGTTCTTCTCTTCCTTATGCCAAAAGCTTTCAAACAAAGCTTCCCAGACACCCTTACTGAATTACAAGAAGAAATATTTTATTTAATTCATTGATACAGTGTGCCTTTAGTTTATATACTTACATTACTTTACCAACTGATTACATTTGTTAAACTGCCTGAATGGTAGTGACATGGAAAGATTGTTTCCTGACTCTAAAAAAGGCAAAACAAATCTGGATGCAAAATAATATGATAAGTAAGTTTTATTTTCTATTATTTACACTGATATTTTGGATTTAACTCATCTTCGACCATAAAAATGGCTAATAAATTTCTAGGTCATTTTTCTTTTTGGTTTTCACACAGGTGTAGAGGAAAGTTTGCATTCTTGTTTCTGTTGATTTTTTAAAAAATTGGTGACGACATTTTGTTCAGATGTGCTGGTGCCAAGCACTGAGATTTTAGAGTTCTAACCTTGAGGTCAGAAGCTAATGAGATTCTTTCATTTACTCTGGGTTTTGGGCTTTTTGTTTGTTTGGTCTTATTTTTAAAAGCTCAGTCCTGAAACTATTAATCTAAGGATGGAGGATCTGGTCTTTATTTCAAAATTCTGGCCAGACATTCTGTTTAGGTGGCCAGTTCTGCAATATGTGCAACATGAGGATGTTGGATGGCTTTATGTAGGAGGGGAGTTGTATAGAACAGAAAATAGATTTTGTTTATGAAAAGTTTCTTCGTCATTTGGTCATCACACCTTATTCACCTTCCATTGCCATGCACACGGTCTTAAAAATGCTGACAAAGAGAACTTGTTTGTTGTAGAGCCTGATGAATTATTTTTAATTGTTGATTTTTCTTTTAGTGTACATTTTGTGCAATAGTCACTTCAAGGGTTAACTTGGAGATTTTATTTACCAGAGAATGCAGGCAGTTAAGAATCATCTGTTGAAATTTTATTGTGAACATCACAAATGATCTTTTTTTTCATATTGGAGTCTATGAATGTAAATTCGTTCTCAATAATCCAGATACAATCATTCAGTAGATACTTTTTATTAATATTTTCTTCTTTTCTACTAACTGCTCTTGCTTTGTCCTTCTTTATAGAGAGCTATTGGGAAATTTGCTTCAGCCATTTTAGCCTTGCCAAAGTCTGTCATTAAACTACCCAAAACTATTCTTCAGTATTTAATCAAAGCAGCAAAGGTACTTGACATTTTGCCAGTGCTCAGTATGTGACCCATCCCATAGTTCCTGATGTAATGTATACCTCTCTCCTCGTCTGCATTTTTCCTCTTATATAAATGATTAAAAAACATAATTACAGCCAAAACTTCATTCCTAGTAAATGCGATGCATTTCATACTTCTGGAGTGGTCAAGCCACGGGAAAAGTGGTCTATCTTTTTTTAAGTGCAACCTCAGAGAGAAAATGCAGACCCAAATTCTCGTTTTCTTCTGATACTGCTATACAAGATGGTCACATCAAGTTGCATGTATCTTATGGACACCATGGTAATTGATCTCAGAAAGCTGGTAAAAGATTTGTAAAACACACATTCTGCTCCATACTCCTGTTTAGCTCACTACTTTTCTGGCCTTCATCATCATAAAAAAGATTTGTACATCTTCTTTCTTGTCCTCCTTGAATACATTTAGCCTGCCTTTGAGCACTGTGTATCATTTTACACTCCATATATGTAACATGATATTTGTAAGGAGTGAGTGTTACAGATTGAGCGTACCAACTCCAAAGCCTAAAAGATACTGCATTTAAAGTTTGTCCGGTGGTAAAAATCTGAAGTAATACATATGTATGCACCCAGTCAGCTCTTAAAATATCCACTGCTTATCATAAGTAGTTACATTAAATTTATTAATCAAATGCCCTTTCTTCATGCTAATCTTCTACCCTCTTCCAAGTCTGCCTTTTACCTCTGATTTCTTTATTCACACTATGACTGTGGCTAGCACAGAGTTTCTCACCTAACTGTTCAACAGCAGATGTTGACAGTTCTGACTTTCATTAAGTAATACAGTATTAGTTCACTTAAGTATCACTATTTCCCCAGATCACCTTCAGTAGAAAACACTTATTACAAAGCCAAGACAAACCAGTGCCTCTGATTCCACACATTTTCTCATGTGGTGCTTGTTTTGAACAATTCAGACATAAACATAAATGTACAGACCATGAGAGATTTGGAAAAGGACCTTCTTATCAACAGTACCAAAATAATTTCCCGTCCATTATTGTATACATTCAAAAAAAAGAACCATGGGTTTTTTTCCTTTTAAATGCATTTAAAGTCAGTTTGACAGTTTAAAAAAAAAAATAAATTGCTTTTTATGTTCCAAAGCAATTTGTGTATGCAATTTTTAAAAATATAAATAAACCAAGTAGAAATTCTACCATTGTGTTCCAGCTTCACTGAGATACATGTGTGTTTTTGTCACGGTCTGCATGTTTGTCTTGTGAATTAACAGAGCTGTTTTGTTACTGTGCTTTATTTTCACCCTCATGCCTGCATCTGTGTGCTTCCCTGCCCTGTCTCTGTTACCAGCCTGTGTTGCTTAGAAATAGAGGACAATGCAGTGCCAATTGAAGATGATCACCATTTTTCAATGAAAACCATACAAGTAATAAAAGAACATCTTTTGTCCTAAAGAGTTATGGAGAAGACACAGTTACTTTAGTTTCTGTTATTCACGTTTTATGTCATATAGGGAAAAAAGATATGAGTGTTACTGCTTTTTTCCTGTAACCTTTCTTCACAGCTTGAGCAGAACTATTCAAAAAGTTACTTTTTTTTACTTTTTTTTCCCCCACACTGCTATAACATTTATAAATGTTTTGGGCCAATTCCATGCTTCATGTAGTCATACAGGTCAACAGACTGTTGATCTGAGTGAGTGCTGTGAGCAGGATTTGGCCCGATAAAATTCCCCTGATGTATAGGTAAGTATTACTGTTTTCATTTTGCAACGGGAAAAACAGTAGCAGAAGGTTTCATAAGTGACTTATCTGAAGCAACAAAGAGAGTCATTGTCAAAATCAGGATGAAATTTGAGGAATTCCTGACTGCGGGGTTTGGGACTGTGCATAGATAGCAAATCTGTAAATGTTCCACTGGGATCTGCAAAGGGGAAAAAAAATACCTAAACTATGAAAACTATACAATCACAAATACCTCTGCTGAGATATCACTACATCTTTTGATGCTTTAGTTGATTGCAGCACTTTCTCTTAAAGTTTCCATTACTCTGCATCTTGCCTGTAAAATGATAAAGTAGAAATACAGAATTAAAAGGAGAGATTCAGGTGAAGTAACCCATATGCACAACAGGGTATTAATTCCCAAAGTTCAGAGCGTGAATTTTTGTGGGTTTTAATGAAACTTGGTTCACCCACAAGTGTTTTCACATTTGGTTTTATGCTCACAAAAATAGCACATGAAAGCTCAGCACATCTGCAGGGGAGGTGTTTGATTTGGGATTCAAAATATTTCCTTACCCCTGCAGATCTGAATGCGTTTACTCAAACTATATAGTCCTGCTTGTGGCTTATTCTATGGCTTACTCTCAAAACATGAAGAGCCTTGAAATAAATGAGTTTGTTCCTTCTAGTTTGTTTATCAGGCCTGGATTACTGACCCTAAAACAGCACTACGACAGAGGCGCAAAGAGAAGAAAAGTTTTGGGAAAGAGGAGAAGCGAAGGCGAAAAGGATCTGGGGATGGTAAGTAGCCATCTGTATTTTAAAAAAATACAATGTTAACTAGCCTGCCTGTTGTTCCTGGTAGTGAAAGGCAGCTGCGTTTTAGAGGGCAAGTGCTCTCAGTTCTTAACTAGAAACTGGAAAAATGAGTTTGCCTTTGGCTGGCTGTCTCTGCCTGCCCCAGCCCATGACGCGGCCAGGCGGAGCCATCTCCTTTTGTTCTACGCAATGCGCATTGGGGGAGATAAAGGAGAAGCGGGGATATATATGTTTTCCATGGAGTTGCAAGACACCCCCCCAGAACTTTCGCCAAATAGGAAGACTCCACACATAGCAGAAAACATCAGCTATATGAAAACATTTGTGGAAGTACTCGCAAGAGAAAGCTATAACCCTGAAAAGGTGCAACTTTATAAAGCAAATAACCTGGTAGTTAACATTATTTCTCCAGAATATGGGAGTGTAAATGCCAGGTGTTTGGCCAGAATCAGGCAGAGCAAGGGTATTACCCTTTCACTCCCTCACCTCCTAAAATGGTTTATCTTACTCTCCAGGTTTTTCTAGGGTTCCTCAAAGTCTCTCATTTTGTTGATAAATTCATGGGTATTCCCAGGGAAAGTTTTGCATATGACAGATTTACGTTTTGTGTCGAAGAGCTATTTCATGAGGAAGTTCCTGAAGAGATGTAGTTCAAGTGGAGCTGTAAGAAAAATGCAATGAAATAGCCACATATAATTTATTTTTGCCATATTTCCTATATTTTTCCCTAAAGAAGCTTGAGTTGATGCATGGGGAAGAATATCAAGAAATGTTTTTCCCTTTCCATGCTGTACTCACTGAGGAACCCAAATATCCATGAACCCCTAAATTCACAGTGAATTCAGCAGGTAGCAACAGCAAAAAAACCATACAAATGTTAATAGGGTTTTACTGGCACTGTAAAATCATTCATGCCCCTGAAAAAAATCAGTTTATAAGTCGTTCATATCTCTTCATCTTTTGCTCCTTTTTTAAACAAGGAAAGAAAACAGAAATCCAGAAGCTTTTCTGGTCGCTATAGATGGCGAAGAGGGGGCCCCATTCAGGCTGAATCAGCTGGACTTTTCCTCCATTTGGCATCTTTGCCTGTGAAAAAGAGGGAGCTTCATAATTTCACTGCTGCCACTGAAGCTGTAGCTGCAAGTATTGGATATTAGATAAAGGGGAGTCATCTGTCTGTCCTTCAGTTCTGCCTGCGACTCTACGTGTCGCTCTTCTGCTACAGGCCTGAATGAAAGGACATGGTAGTTTCGAACCAACTCTGCTGCTTCATTGCAACCTGAAGGTCCCACTGAGTTCAGTCGAGTTTGCTGGGTCGGAGGCAGGAGAATATCAGAGCAGTGATCAGGTTGCCCTTTGCAGAAGCTGAAGAAATGAGCTCGAGTGTGAGTCAGCAGAAGGTGAGGCTGCTGAGGGTGGAAGTGGTGTGAGCAAGAAATTGCCTGGGTTTACACCAACCCATGATCTTGCTCTGCAGCCTATCTAGAAAAATAATGCCACTGCAAATTACATGAACACCTTCGCTGACAGGGTTGTCCCCTCACCTGAGTCCTTTAGAACTGGAAACGTGCTTTCTGTTATAGTGGTAACCAGTCACTGCTGTTCAGTAACCGGAGCATTTTCCAGCCTGAATGCCTTTTACACCGCTGCTTCTGTAGGTGTAACATTCACAGTTTCGCTCATTGTTTTCAACAGGTGGCACCGATGCAGACTGTGAAGACAGTGAAGAGGAACCTGTCAAGAAGAAATCTGATGGACCAGGTATGAAGGCAGAAAGGTTTCTCTGCTGTTACAATGCAGTTGTGACCAGTGGCATAACCACAGCGTATCACAGACAGCATTGCAGAGATCACAGCTTTTTGTGTAAAAGCTGCAAAATCCATTCTAACCTGTGCAGTGAGAACTTCCTAACTACTTTCAGGTTTCAAATTGCCAGGTTTACAAGTCCTAAGCACAAAGAACTTCTACTCCTGGAGTATTAGTTACTGCACTCATTCTCTACACACTTCAGTAAATATACCGGCAGGCTCAGACTTGATCACTTGCTGTATATTTCACTTACAAAACAACTTACACCTAAGCTTAGCTTCCAGTCCTGATTGATTGCATACAGCCCTGTATTAAAATCTGGATTGATTTTGAATGTCTGAAATGTTATTAGTAGCACAAAGACCTTGCATTTTTTCAGTGTGCTTTATCAAGGTTAAGATAAAGCTTTTGTCTGGTACTCACCCATTCAGCAAGGTGCAAAGATCTCCTCTACAAAAATGTGATTTTCCCAGTCTTACCCCTTCTCATTCAGAATCAGATTTCAGGATGCTCTGCACAAGAGAGGAAATGCCAGCAGTTTGCAAGATCTTGCCCATATTGAAAGTTTTCCTACAAAGAAGTGTAATGGATCATAATTCTAAGCTTGGCTTTTTGTTTCTAACTGGAGTAAGAGAACAAAACAGACTCTCCTCTTAAGTAAGTCTTCATCATGGCTTACCTCGAGTGAGACTTTGTCTTCAAAAGCTATTTTTCTTCTCTGTTTAAAACTGGTTTCCACAGTTCCAGTTAGAATTGTATCCCTGAGTGAGCCACAGGGTAGAAAATGTTACGAGGATGTGAGAGATGTCATTTCTTTCTCACCAGAGCAGTGGTCTCAAATAAACGAGTTGCATTTCTATAGGGTTATTTTTCATAGGGTTTTGGGGGCTTTTTTATTTATTACTTACTGGCGATGCAGTTACCTGTGTTAAAACACTGAAGTGAATCACTCAAACACATCTCTAGGGAAATACTGTTGGCACTACACAGGAGTTAGGGAAAGAGGTTTATAATCAATTTAAATTGGAAATAGTCAATTTCGGGTGCTTTATATTTTCGTTGAAATAGTTTGACCATTACTAGGTAAAATTTGTTAACGAAGATGGTTGGAAAATTGAGACAGTGATTGTTATGAGGCATTAGTATCATTATTAACCTTGGATCAAGTCCTGTCTCACACTCTCAGGCAGAAAGAAGCCTTCTCTGCATTTGACCCTTTAAGTTAGAATAACAGTCTCTGCAGAAAATAAATATTTGTTTCCCTTTTTGAAGATGTTTAGATGCAATCGATCCCCAAAAGATTATTTTTAAAAAGTTTTGGAGAACAGCAAAGCTGCCAGAACAGCTACAGCATCATTAAAAATGTATACTAAATCACCTCCATCCCAGAGAGAAAAATGACCTTTCAGATTAGACTGGAAGTGCTTGGCAAAGCACTGTGGTGAGACTGTAGCATGCCAGTGGTGGGCAATGATAAAGATAATTTTAACCTGAAAGCTGCAATTCTTCTGGAGGCAGTAGTAGAAATTATATGCTGGTGAGGAAGAGTGTGAGTTAAAAAAAGAACATTTATATGTTGTATATTTCTGTATATGAGACCCACATTTTCTTTTAACTTACTGTAGTATTACATCTGGAATTCAAAGGAAATGAATGCTCCTTGAAGTAGAAACAGCCTTATATTTGATTTCCAATGGCAAGATTTCCTTAGCTTCAAGACCTGCATGTTGACATACGAGTGAATAAAATTTAAGTTGATAAATCACGAAATATCTCCAATTCTAAATGACATAGAAAAGGCCTGGGAAAAAAAGGGCAAAATATTGCTGAAATAATTATATGATCAAGTGAAGGGGACTAAATGTTCTTACATTCAGAGATACTGGACCAGTTCCATGGCATTGCTCAGGTAAATGGTACATACTGCCATTTCCGCATCCACTTTACAGGAATGTACCACTCATGGGTTTTTTTCCTTAGTTTCTCTCCACACGTATGTGCATACAACCCTGCCTGCACACCCAGAGACACGTGCATGTTGCTCCATAGGAAATCTTTTGCTTTATTATAGCTTCACCATTGCATTCTTTGTAAGGAACGAATGTGCACTCCACAAAGTTTTGCGTGCCATCTTGTGGTACAGCTAAGAAATGAGGTTGTTAAAAGCATCAAGCTTGAGCACACAGGTTTGCTCCTTAGTATCTACTTCAAACATTTTGTCTCTGCATGGCAGATTATTGGCAGTTTTCTATTATTTCTTAGGCTGGTTACTCTAAAATTGATCTTTATAGCTAGTGCTCTGGGATTTGCAACCTGGCAGGGACAACTAGCTCTGGAACTGACTAGCTGGAAAGAAGTTTTTTAGTATTTGTGCAACACTATATAAGAACTGGGAGTGGGAGTGGGAGAAAAATAAACTGAAAGTACTGCTTTTTGGGTGAGAAATGCAGTTGCCAATGCTAAAGGAACTACTGAAATGAGAAATTAACTTGAGACAGCTTCATTGAGCAAAATAAAGCTATTGTTGGTATAATACCCATAAGCCTTACTCGTGGGAGTACTGCTTTGGCAAAATGGTGCAAGAGTAATGTTTCATAAATTATTTATATGGTTTGTGCTAGTTGGGCTAGTTGATCTGAGATCACTGATGACACAGTGCAGCCTATTTAAAAAAAGAGAGGCTTTGGAAACAGTAAATGCAATCAGGTGTGTTTAAGTGGTAGGAAAACTGGGAGAGATTCAAAGACTGTTCAGGCAGGTTAGGCTTTCAAACTCAGTGTTGGAGCACAGAAAGCAAGCTCTGTGCAGAGAGAAATGCGCACAAGTAAATAGACAGGTAAGGGGTTCAGCGCAGCACGCTGGCTGAGCGGCTGTTGAGATCACAGGAGCTGGGGATGTTGAATAGCTCTCAGGAGATGCCCACATCTTCGGTTTCATTTTGCAGACCTGTGCATACAGCGTCTCTCTGAAATCAACGTCTGTTTATGTGACTAGCGATTGCAGGACCGTGGAGTTACAGTGTGGAAAAGGGATTCCAGATGATAAGCCTAGACATACAGGCAGGAAAATGGCCCAGACAGCCAGAAGGCCTCCAGCCATCTTCAGAGGTTCCTTACTGTGACAGAGTCTTGCAGCCTGGATTATTATTATTAGACAATAAAGGAAAAATGAATCTAACCCTAAGCAGAAGTACAATTAAAAATATTTGCCTTCATTAACTCTCTGTTGCTTTTCCTCTCCCTTAGATAACATCATCAAGAGGATATTTAATATCTTGAAGTTCACTTGGGTCCTTTTCCTGGCAACACTAGACAGTTTTACAGCTTGGCTTAATTCCATCTCAAGAGAACACATCGATATCTCTACTGTGCTAAGAATTGAACGCTGTATGCTGACCAGGGAGATTAAGAAGGTACCACCTTTGGTCTTTTTTGTCTGCTAATGCCATTCCCAGCTCAGTGAAAAATGAAAGGTTGTCTTTTCAGATCACTGTATTAAGGAGAAAAATTATAAAAATCTCACTTATATGTATGTCTTAAAAATACATCTGGACTCTTTTACTGCTTGCTGGTTTATAAATATATAAATAGTAAATTACTTGATTTATTATCTGCATACAGAAAAAATATTGGAAAAATAATTCTTTGAGAGGTTGTTACAAGGATTTGGCTGAAACTTTCTGGTGATAAAGTGTGGTTTTGAGGGGACAAGATAGATACAAGTAGAGACGAGAAGGCATGGCATTTTAAACACCTCAGAAACTACCTCAGTCTGCATATTTCAGTCTGTTTGTAGACCAACTTGCCTTGGAAATGACTGAAAACTTACAGGCATAACTTTCTTCATTCACAATGAAGCTATGTAGTCCTCCACAAACTAATTATATATTAGTAAACCCCATTATTATCAAAGGTTAATGTTGATAGTGTAACTAGAAACGTATTTGGATCTTCAATATGCAAGCAGGTGATACCTTGAAGTTGGATAAATCTCCCATTTTAAGCACAGGTCTTTTTACATATGTCACTAGCTACCCAACTCTTTCTGGAAACTTGGCATAGAAGCCTCATTTTTAGTTCTTTCCAGATTTTGTTAAAAGCTGCAGGCAGTGTCAGAGATGAATAGGTCGAAAAGGTCAACAATACATTAGCACTCTTGACCTTAATAAAGCCCCGTACTGCCCAGCCACTACTGTCGATGCCTGCCGTCACGATAAGCAAGCAGGCTGCTCACCATCCCAGGGGTTCGAGAGGCAGGCTTTCCCGGTCAGAGGGAATCTGTACCCAGTCTGGCCAGGAGGCACTGAGCATGAAGAGAGGGCTGCTTCACTGTTAGTGTTTAATTACTGCTATTTTCCCCAAGGTGTCCAATAGTAAGCAGATAATAATGTTGGCTTCCAGAAGATCCTTCAATACGGAGGTCTGTAGTGTCATTCCATGTGGTGTGTTTAAAAGTACTTCCTCTTATTAAATTTAGACCTGCTTCCTGATCATTTAGGAGTCTCCTGTAGATCACAGATGTATTCCATTTTCCTCTACTCTTCCTGATTGTATAAATCTGCATGGAGTCTTCTCCTCAGTCATTCTCTTCCAAGTTAAAAGGTTCCTTTGTTTTTAGCCTCTCTTCACATGGAATCCATCCAGTGCCTCTGATCATCTTTATTGTCCTTCTTCACACTATTTCCAGTTTTAATATTGCCTTATTAAGACTGGATGACCAGAGCTACACACTGTTTTCAAGGTGTGGGTGAACCACAGGTTTATACAGAAGTATGATGTGTTTTCTTTTGTTTTTCTAGTAAGATCTAACAGTCAAACTCCTTTGATTTTAGTGAATGCTGCCTGTTTTCAGGGGACTGTACACTCCGAGTCCGAGACCTTTAAGGCTAACATAAGCTGACATAAAGCCTGTCATTATGTATATACAATTTAGGTTATTTTTCCCATTGAATTTCTTGCCATATTTTACCATGTCACTCAGTTTTATCAAGTTGTTCAGTAGTATGTTAGTCAACTTTACGCTTGAATATCCCAGGTATTTTTTTTTTCATCTGTAAACTTTATCACATTGCTGTTCTCCTCCTTACACAGATTATTTCTGAATATGCTGGACAGTAAAACTCCTTGGGGGAACCAGTCAATGACCTTCCTTTGTAAAGAAAATCATTTGTTTGTGCCCTTTTTCTCCGGTTTTTTGATGGAGGATAAGTATGAGAGAAACAGTCTGCTTTATTTCATGACTGCTTAATTTCTTACAAGGGTCACTCAGGATCACTCCTGAAGCCCTGTTTAATGATTGGTGTTACCTTCTCTTGCCCTGGCACTGTTGGGTCCTGCAGATCTCTTGAGTGAGCACCTTCCACTCAGTGCTCAGTTTATCATTTTGTTCTCAGACTTATCTTTTATAAAATAATTACTCCAGTCATTCCATGGGATTCAAATTATTCCATTGGGAATGTTGGTGGCTTTTTCTGCAGTGAAGAGGGATGCAAAAAATACAGTCTTTTTTTGTCCTGTTGCCATAACTCTCTTAAACCTCTTTATGCCTTGATCACCTATTGATGCTTTGGCTTCCTGGCAGCAGATTCTTACGATATTCTTGAAAATCTTTTTGTTCTCAGATTATTTTTTTTTTATTTTAGCAAGTTATTCCTCAGCATCTTTTCTGGTCTAATTTGCTGAATTTTTACATTTAACTCTAGAAAGGTCATTCTTGTTTGGTTTTTCTCATGACTTTTACTTCTTGAAGGATGTCTTCTTGTTTCTTCCTCCTGGTCTTTTCCATTCTGGTGACTCGTGTGTGTGTGCGTGCAGGCTCCTTCATGATATTTACCTATTCTACATGAGTACATTCAAAAAATAACTTGAGTTATTGTACATTATTATTCTGATGGCACCTTCTGTAATCTTAATACCTAACAAGCACTAGTGCATTTCTGGTTTGATGGTAAAAAAAATCAAGTCTTCACACTATACTTTTTCAATATTAATTGGTTCAAGTCCACCCACACAGACTCTGTGATAATCCTGGCACAGTCCATTTAATTAATTGTTAGGCTTTATGCTTTTTGACCCATACCACCTCTTTCTCAAGCTATCTTCCATTCCATCCTTCCTATAAAATTCATGCTGTGATATTACAGCATTGTGGTGATATTCCTTTTTGCCCCAAGTCTCAGAAGTCCCTGCTATTTCAGCATCCTCACTGAAAATCACATGGTTCTTTCTCACCACCACCGAGTTTTTAGAGTTTTAACATCTATGCAGAAGGCAGGCTAACTGCCTTTCTATGGCCATTACTTATTTGAGACCTTATTTTGATCATTCTTCTCTCTCAGTGTATCTTCTGAAGTCGATGCAACTGCTAGTGGAATGAGTTGGATGTGTTTCTGCCTATGAACAGGCTATAAAATTCTCAGGTTTATTCTTACGATGCGCCTTTAGAATTCTGATTGCAATATCATAGCCAGAAAGACTTGATTCTGTGCCCAGATCTGGGCTGACAGTTAATAAAACCATCCTTTCATGAACTTGCATGACCTTAAAGTCACAGAGAAAGAGTAAAGGTATTCAGTGTATTTTTCATGGTTTTTCCAACAGTATCCATACTTTATGAATAAATTCTTATTTTGGGACACTATTGAAAATATAGATCAGTTTATACATGACCTGTTTTTTTTTTCTGTTTAAACAAAGTGCTACTATCCACTAATAAGATATATGATTGTTCTTAGAGTCAGTGAAGCTATCTAAAAGAGATATCTCAAAAATTGCTGTAGTACAGGTTGAGTCATAGTCCCAGCCCACACCTCATTTTCATGTTGAATGATCTGCAGTCCACCCAGCAGAGTTTTGTTGGCTATGCATAGCCTGAAACTGCTTACATTGCTATGGTTTTGCTTGAAAACACAACGCTTTGTGCCATGGTAATTTAAGTCAGAATGTGACTTGCACTCTGAAAAGGAACTACTAGTGGGAGGTTATTGTTTACGAGGAAGCTGTCTGCACAGTCCTTAATCTGTTCCTTGCCAAATGCCAGAAGAAACCAGTTCCTCAAAGAATACACTTCCCCCCTGCCATGTACCTCTACCTCTACTCTCTTCCACAGGGAAATGTTCCAACGCGGGAGAGCATCCATATGTATTACCAGAACCACATGATGAAACTTTCTAAGGAGTCAGGACTGGACTCAATTGATAAAAATCCTGGTCAAGCTTCTGGTTTGCAAGCATCTGAAAGAATGGATAGTTTAGATTCAGCAGCTTCTCGTGACAGTATCTCCAGGTATTGATTTAATTTTATTTCATGAAAGATAGAGGAATCATGCAGTAGATCATTTTAGATAATGTCTAATCAATGTTGAATCTTCTTTTAGATTTATCCATGCCATTTTAATAGTGAAAACTCTGCTATATGTTACTTTTCCTTTATAGTGGTGCACTCAGTTGTTGGCTTAACTCCTTTTCCACTGCATGACTACCCTAGTGCTTTCTGTTTCCCCTAAAATTAGGAGTCATTGACAGTCTTCTAAAAAGTAATGGAAAATAAGAGCCTGCTAAGGATGCTTATGGGATACTGTGTTAGGAATTCAGGCATGGAGGTTGAGGAACAGTTGTTCATTGTGAATATTTTGTCTTTGTAAAATAAATTGTTTTCTGTTGCCTACAAATCAAAACAAGGCTTTGCATTGAGAGAGATTCTGGATTTGAGAGAACACAGGACAAAGATCATCTGAAGAGTCTGGTTTCCTAACTGCTATGATTACAGTCCAGCAGAGCTACACAGTTTGTGGATCAAATACCCACATTATTTCAGGAAAACCATCTTCCTCATTCTTTTCTGAAGACAGATGCTGTCGAGTCCTTTGCCAAAACTACTGCATGCTCCTGCTGCTCTGTGCACACAGAGGCACACACATGCACTTCCTTCTCTTAGAGAGGCATCCTGTTCCCACCGTGTCCCTGGTGTTCTTGACTTTTAAGAAACTGCAGAAATTGTCCAACATGAGGGGGAGAAGGGAGGGGTTTGGAAATCCAGCTGTTTCATAAACCTTTGCATTCTGCTGTCTCCTGTTCTTCTCTGAAGTGTGGCAGTACCATTTTGTCTTTGATACTCCCAGCAAACTCGGTAGCTTCTGTGTACAGTAAATTGTGCTTAGCTTTTCCTAATGACATATGGGTAGAGGCTAGCAGACTGAAAATAATGGGGGCTTGTCGTCCTTTCTGATGTTATTGAAAAACAAGTGTAAGAGAGTGCCTGTGAGTACTACGCTTCAACAAAATATTCATGGATTGCTCCCCAGGGTGGGCACTGCCCTTTGGGAGGTTCACTCCAGTAAAAACACCAAATCTGAGCAAATCTTTCTCGGTGGCTTGCTACCCAACTAAGCAACACCTTTGTGTTTTGTCTCAAAGTTTTACTGGATTCAGATGACGTGTGAAAAATGTAAAGCCAAATTCTATTACCAGCTCAGTTGGAGCCACTTGGACATCTGCAGGGCAGAATTTAACTCCACAAAGTTCAGTCTTATTTCAAGAAAGAATAGTAATATCAGTCCTGCTTTCATTAAATAGGATTTAGTCACACTGTTTACTATAGATAGAAGAAGTTAACATTATCATATAACCATGTTAGCAAGAACTTTAACTGGAAGCAAAGCGAATTCCAAAATTAATTATAAAAAAGAAAGACAAATTTTCATGTGTAAATTCTGCTTCTTCCATGAGATGATATCCAATGTTGAGCTCCACTTGTCTTTTTTTTTCAGAATAGCCACCCATTTGTCACCCTGCTTTGAGCATATTTACACATTTAAAATCTCTTTTCAAGCTCAGAGAACTCAGTGATTCTGTGGAGCTGCTTTGCAACAGAAAAAGTTAAATCTTTCACATGTGTTACTGTAATCTCCATTTCCTCCAAAGATGTCACAGGACACATCAACAAAGGAACAGCAGAGGCAAAATTATGACTGATTTCTCTAATCTCAAATTCTCTTTCTGGTAATGAACAATCAAATATTCTTGCACTGAGAGTATTTACAAATTGTGCACATCTGCTATAATAATAATAATGACCTGTAATTAGAGGAAGCAAAAATGAGTCTGTTGATTGAACGATAATGCCATCTGTTTACTGGGGCACCCTTACATCTCTCTTCCTGGGATTATTACAAAAGTCTTTATGAGCTTTTTTAGAAATGTGAAATGTTTAAACTTCATGTGAGTTCGTCAAGTGATTTTTTTTAATTGCCCAAACAAGAGAAGGGAACATCTTACATTTCAAAGTAATGATTTCCAGTAAATGTAAAAGCAACTAATTAAATCTAAAGCACCCATGTGATCATGGATCTAGGATTGCAATGGAAATCTTTTTGGGAAGGGGCAGAGGGTTTCTAACTAGCATTCTGGTTATCCTTCTTTGGTTACCCTACACAAAATTCTGTAGTGGGCATTAGATCCATGAGTAAGATGGGCATGTCTGGAAGTACAGAAGCTGCAGAAGCACAGAAGCTATTCCATTATAATAATACATATTCTTCAGTACTCAGGACAGGAATTATTGTAGGTATCTGCTCAGTGCTCTAAATACTGGATTCCCGGAGAGAGCAACCCTCCTGATCAGTTGCAGGAAATGTACATTTCTTGTCAAGTTCAGGGCTGACCCTTGTAAGTTTTATCCAGGGATGTTGTTCTTACCCTAGATAAAGCTCTAAAAGAAGTTTTGCAGAGTATCCTTTGTGGGATTTTCTCTTTTAGTAGGGCTGTCTTTTCAGTCATTTTTCTGTACAGTAGCTAGAGGTGTAATGACGTATTCATAATGTAATTGTTTGGTTTCTTTTTTATGTATAAATACTGTCATGTATCCTAAAGGCGAAGTGCATATGGGCCAGGAGGAGAAGACACTGATGTTGATCCTTAACAAGCTGTTTAAGGAGCACCAGCAGAAGGGATAGGGAGCTAGCATGGTAGAGCATTCGCTGCTGTTTGTTTCCATTTGACTGATGAACTGCTTGTTAGCTTAAACTGCTTGTGAATTTCAATAACATGATTAGGAACTTATTAAAACCAGTTGGCTGCCTTTATGGGACTTGGCCTACGATTATGAAATAGCAGCTAGAGGCAGGTCCTAAGTCAGATTTCAGGACATGCAGGATTTTGTAATCAGTTCAGTTTGTATTGATTTTTGTCCATCAACCAGTAACGTATTCAGTGCCCAACTCTACCCATGTGGAGGCTTTTATAGGAGCTGCAGGTGGGAGCCCCTGACCCTCCCGTAAGAGTGAAGTATCATGCAAGTGCGGTCAGGGTCTTTACAGACACCACTTTTCATCTGTGCTTCCCTCTGCAGACGAGAGAATAGGGCTTGAGGCAGGGCGTACTGGAGAAGTAACGATTGCCTTGGGAGGCAGGAGAAAGGATGAAAGGAGACTCCGAGTTTGGAGCTGGATCTGGGTCTGATTTAGGAGTGTGAATGATAGGAAATTTTTGGGATCTTTGCTTGCAGGTGTGGGGAGTGTAGTAGTTCATAAAGGTAATGCCAGTCAGTAACTAGCCCGTGGACAGAAAAAAGAAAAAAAACAAAAACCAAAAATTTGTAAGTCACCCCTTAAACTAATAAACTCTCTGGGAAGGGTAAATTTCTTTAGCAAAAGGGAAGTCATAAAGTAAGAAATTTCCCGCTCACCGAGGATAAAATCTTCTCTGCTATATATATATCCCCATTTGAAATGGATACCCGATCAACTTTTATATAAAGCCTGAACTTGGGGCTTTTAATGAACATTCAATTTAAAATACCTAGTCCTTGAATGATTTCAAGAAGCTAATGCTTTTCAAGGTCTCCAAGGACACAAATTTGAAAAGTCACTCAGGAAGATATGCTTGGATTAAATTTATGTGATAGTCAATGACTGAGTCAACATCAGCTTTGCCAAGTGTAAATCTCTCCACTTTATTGGTGTTCTTGTTTCCACCATGTTTGGAAGTGTTTTCCTAAACAAGTACATAAAGAATATACAGACTGTGCTACAGGTGTCATCTCATACACATCTCCTGACATTCAAGGATACAGAGCAGTTCAGTTAATAATTGTTCTGATGATTCATCCTTCATTTAAAACAGTTTTAAACAAAATTATTGCAGGGACTCCATCTGGGCAAACGTTTTTATCTATTGGGATTAATATATGTTTTTCCTTTGATTTTTCTGGGACCCAGGTCAGAGCTTACATGTTTTGGAGGGCAGCTGGCATATGTTTCTTCCACTGAAAATACGTGAATGGGCATGGGCTACTTTGATTTCAACAGCTGCTCTGCCTAAGGCCCTTGGAAGGTTCCCTTTGAACTACACCTGCATTTAAAATACTTCAACACCTTAGTAAGAGGTGTTGCTCTTGAAAAGAATAAATTCAACCCTTGAGATGTAAAATAGCATGTGGATAACGTCATAGCACACAGACAGAAAGGTAATCTGCAAAAATAGATTGTCTGCTTGCTGCCATCTCCCTGCATTTTAGCACCGAAACCTCACTGAGAGTACAACAGCCTGGCTGTACTCCATAGGTCTACATGCAAAGGGAAACCTCCTCCCTCATGACCCCCTGGGGTCAATAACATGGAGGTCAGACGGACTTCCATGCTACTGAATCAGGCTTCCAGGGTGGTTCTCCTGTTCCTATACCCCGCGCCGTGCAGACAGCCCTCCAGGTTTTGTCTGGAGTATGCTTGTGTGCCTTTGTGCACACACAGAAATAATGAAGCGGTCTGTAAAGGGTCTTGGCCAAATGAACTGGTAGGACAGAGATGCCCCTGCCATTAATACTGTTTTTAAGGAAGGTTTCTCACAATGCCTTTGGTATCTTGGTGATACTTTTACTCAAAGACCAAAGTTTGCTTTTAGCTTCAACCCATTCTGTCAGAAAAGACCATCAGTGAGCGTAGGCCTAAGAGTAACTGCTTCTTCACTCCACGTGTTCTGCTGTTTTCCTCCTCATTTTCCTTAAGGCAACAATCGCAAACTGTCACTTCATGCCAGCAGATTTTTTTCCTCACTTCAAGCTAGCAAGACCAAAGTAACATGGAAAATGCCATTGCACTTCCCTTCTGACCTCTTTCCCAATTCTCTGTGCCCCTGGACAAACATAATGCTTGCCAAGGAAGCAAATCTCCTGCTGCTGCTGCTCGAGTGTAACACAGATGGACTCAAAAGAAGAAAAGTAGAGTGTAAATCCTGCATTTTGGGGTCCTTTCTTCTCTCATTCTGTCTGAGAGACTCAGGCAGGTCACTGCATGTGTTAAAACACCAGGTCCCTCGATTTATTTCATAGACATCTGTGTTTTTCAAAGATTTTTACAGCATAAATAATTCTTTTACCTACCATATGTCATTAATGTATTTGCTTCTTTCCTGTTGCTATGTTATATGCTTGTACTTAATTACGTACTTTCTTTCTCATAACTCATCCAGTTCTTCTTCTTTTCTCCAGTAACACATAAATGCTTAATGTATGGTGTATGTCCCTGGTGTCCTGTTGTATTTGCTAAGTGAAAGGAGATAAGGGTTTATTATATCTGTTCTTTTTTTTCAAAATGTGCATGTTACCAATTTTGAAATAGTTTTTAAGCTGTGATTGAAATAAATGAAATCTTCTGGAAAGAATCATCAGGGCTTACTACTAAATATCAAAATAAAAGCCGTCCCATGCGGAGCAGGTTATATTTGGCATGCATCTACTGGCTAAGTAACATATCCGATTTGGCTCTTTGGTTCGGAAAGAGGATTAGCCAATGTCTGACAGCTATTTTTCTATTTGTGGAATATGAGCTTATTCAGTTTTAAGGGCTCTTTTAGGAAATTGGCTTGTACCTGCGTAAAAAGGTTCAGCATAGCATATCATAGAATTTGTACAAAGGCGGACACTTCCCAAAACATTTTTCTGGAATTTGGAAATTTTGGGGGGAAACAAAGAAAATAAAACCTCCTCACACATGTAAGTTGGTAACCCTGGAAATCATGTAGAGCATTGTGTTGGTTTCATATCCTTTGAATAGTGAATGGATGGTTGCTAGCCTTCTATAGACTCTATATGAATATGACCATGAGCAATCTGTGCGTAGAAATGTGTTTACATGGTGACTCTAAACAAATCCTTATCTTCTCTCTGAACCTTTTTTTCTCTGTGTCAGTGTTTTGCTGCATGGCGAGCATATTTGTCTACTGAACCATGTGTATAGTATTATCATTTGTATTTAACATTGTCTTTATAACTGTTTGCGCTGCTAGCTGCTACACTGAAGCAACCATGCTGTTCTCAAGGCAGTCAACCCTTGATGATTTAGATGGACCAGACTCTGTTCCTAAAACAAGTGAGCGCGCTCGACCTAGGCTTCGTAAAATGCAGAGCATGGATATGTCCTCCTCATCAGCTGACAGTGGCAGTATAGTGTCAAGGTGCTTAACTCATGCATGCTTTGTTCACTCATTTCCCCATACCATTATACTTACCGCAGTGTACTTAAATTTGCGTTTGCAGATACGTGGTGTACAGAGTGGTTTGCATGGTTAGCTTTACTCCCTTCGGTGTTGTGGAACGATTCTGAAGCTCAAAGTCAGGGTCATAATCTAGGACTCATTTGCTGTTTCACTTCTTATTCTGTTTTTTGGGGTGTTTTTTTGGTTTGGTTTGGTTTTCATCCTTAATTCATGTATTTTTAAAAGTTGTTCCAGTATATTACACTGGCTGTGTAAAACCAGGCTAAAGTCTATATTTGGTCAGCTAAAAAAGAGTCTGATTTTCAGAGTTACTGAGCTGATGGTTGTTCTTATTAAAATTGGAAGCTGGAAGTGAAGTTTCTCAGCTAATCGGTTATCCTAAATATGGACTTAGATATCTAATTTTAGAAACTAAGATAGGCAAACATTGGCCCTGCTCTTTTAATTTTTACTTTTCCCTGCACAGGAAAGATTGCTAAATACGTTTTGATTGCTTTAGCATTGATTTACAGTCTGTGAGGTGTTGGAATTAAGGAAGGGAAAATTGCTATGAAAAGATAGTGAATAATATTAATATCCAGTGCAAGAGAGAACTGGTCAGAGCCGTTCACTTTTTAGTAGGTAAAAACCAGTGTTTTATGTGACATTGGGAAACAGCGTTTCAACTAGTATTATGAATATTTTAAGTATGAAATTTTATGGCATATTAGATCATTCTTTTCCTGTGTTTTTTTAAAGTGCTTTACAAATTTTTGGTGACAATCAGTTTTGAAATGATGAGATTTTATAGTCTTGTACATTTTAACCAGGATGAGTGCTAACATGAATCATCGAAACATACATCCTAATAATAGTGTTACACGTTGTGATTAAAAGTCTGCTAGAAATAAAGTGATCTAACATAGCCACAATAAGTTTGGAAGCAGTGTAAAAGGAAAAGAGATGGAACTTAATTTTTAATTTTGGCAGGAGATGATAGTGCAAGCTGGCTTTGCCAGTGCCATTTTTTAAAAAAAGATTATACTTTAGGTGAAAATATGGCCCCATTCATTTCATAGGAGCTATGTAAAATCTGTTTTTGTCTCTGTTGAGATACAAGAGCATGCAGCCAACAAAAGACACTGAATGGATGCCTATGGTCTAACCTACAGAGAGAGACTGGAATGGAGACCAAAAAGAGAAAGACTGATGTTGTAGGGGAGAGGTGATAAAATACTTGTGAAGGATGAAAAGGGTGAAAGCAAAGCCAAGAAAATATTTTTTAAATGATGGTGTCCAGATTCCCATCTGGAGTCATCAAGCTGTGTGAATTTACATGAGCTGAGACTGCTGCAGAGCACAGAGCAGTAAGAGAGAAAGTGATTATGGACATGCAAAGCCGAGAATAAGCAAGGTGAACAAGCAGAGAACTGAACAGAGTGAACAAGAACAGCTGAAAAAGAAAATAGGTACATACAGAAGAAAAGCAGGCAGATAGGGTAAAAATGGAGACTGCATTGAAGAACATAGGGCAATCTAAAGGTAAGCAAGATAACCCTGTTACTGGAACAGTTTTGTAATCTGGATTGTATTTTTCAATGTTTGCAATTTATTTGTTCTTTTACTTGGAATCAGACTTGAAATGTGTGTTCAGCTCATGTTCCAGCTGTATACAGCACCGGTACAGTGGTTGGAAAAAGCACCGTGTTTAGAAGGAACCCCATGGCTACTTGTCATTCACCATGGACATGCTTTAAATAAATGTAATAGTGAGTCCTGTCTGAAAGTGTTTGAACTGCTTTCAGAAAGTTAGTGTAGTTTCTCTTGATAATGACATTAATTTGCCCTTTACTGGTGTGAAAAGATAGTGAATCACTGTGAGTTCACTGGGATGTCATTCAGGGGGCAGATGGACCCAGATGGCCTATCTGTGTAAAAGGTGATCATGATGATGTATTTTCTGCCAAGTTATATGAACTTTGAAGGCCTGGGAATGCAATGGGGTTGCTCATATGTCAACATAAAGGTACAATTAACAAGCTTTTTATGGTGATGAGCCTTGTAAGCCTCAATTCTCTCTCTTTGTCCTGTCCTCAACAGTGAACCTACACAGGTCACCATGCTCTATTCTCGTCAGGGAACAACAGAAACCATTGAGGAGGTAGAAGGGGAGCATGAAGAAGAAGGAGCTCATTCTGCATCAAGGCAGGAGGAAGAGGAGGTGGAAGATTATAGCCTGGATTCAGAAGGAGCTGCATATACTCCTGATACCGATGTGCCCTTGTACTCTACTGTGGATAGCAATGCAGAAGCTCCACCTTCCTATAGCAAAGCTGTCAGCTTTGAACACCTTCCCTTTGGCTCCCCAGATGACTCAGCTGGTAAAAGCCTCATGATGGTGAGCCCAGACGACAGTCGGACCGACAAACTTAATGATACGATTCTCCCTCCATTGACACACGAGCTAACGGCTAGTGAGCTGCTTCTGAACAAGTAAGGACCTTCGTCAAGGAAAAACTGTTGGTCCTAGTCTGTGAAGTTTTGTTATTGCTTTTTTTTTTTTTTTTGTCTCAGGACTAGCCTACTGTTTCTGATACAGACCTTATGCTAAGTTTGATCTAAGGGAAGAAGCTCATTTCCTGTGCAGTTGTTCTAATTACAGATTTCTAAAATTATTCAAATTCATATTGGAAAGAATCTCTGCTTTCTCCCCAGATACCATAGCTAATTGTTCCAATTAGCATCGGATTTCTGTGCTGCAATTGTCATGGGGTCAAGGGCTTTTCTAAATATTCCTTGTGGAGAGGGCTTCTCTTCTCCAGGCAGCTGTGATTTCAAATAAGTTTCCTCCGAGTCTAGCTGGGAAAATGTTTCTCCTTTAATTATTTTGGATTACTATAGGGGAAACTCTGACCTTTGGCAAAGTTTTTGTTTAAGCAAGCAGGAGCTGAGTGCTATGTAGAGAGACCACCTTGCAAAGGACTTTCATGAGGGTTAGAACGCTCCCCTCTTTGCCCCTCAGACACTGTGGTCAGTAGCACAACCAGCACTGAGGTGGGGATGGTGCCACTGCTCTTCTTCCTCTGCTTTCTGGCCTGACTCAGCTTGGGGAGAGCTTCCCTGAATGCAAGGACAAAATCTTAAACCGCAGAAATGCCTTTCAGCCTGACTGCGTCTGGAGAGAGAGAGAGGCTTTGTGGATCTGACTTTGTAGATGCAGTGTCTTTTCTTCTGGTTTTCCATAGTCATTTTTGCTTTTCAGTGAGATCTCTTCTCAGGCCAGGGCACTCTTTATGAAAAGCAAAGAGAATTGTGAATGTATGTGAAAGTCATATAATGATTTCTTGCTTCCTTTTATATTTATTTGAGTTAGGTAAAGGGGAGAAGACTGGACACATCTAATGCTCAAGGGCATTTATTATGTTCTAAAGTTATGTCACAGGACTACTCATAACATATGTCTCCTGATGGACCTCTGGAGTTTCTCCAAATTCCCATCTGTGTTGATAAATCAAATATGAATCCAGACAGGGCCACACCAGTATGGTGTGATTTACATGAGATATGTTGGTTGGGTGACTGTAGGAGAGTGGTACTTGTAGAAATTATTGGGCCAGGCTGACTGTCTGGGTTAATTAAAAACCCGCAGAACAGTACTTCTAGTTATTTTGCCTTAAATTCTTGTTTTCTGAGCTTAGAATCAAGCTATTTGATTATAATACCAATCCCATCTCTTTTCTTTTTTTTTAACTCAGCAGCAGAATTTTATACTTTTTCAAAAGAAAAAGTAGCAATTTGAAAAGCAGCTCGTGTGAAATTAATTTTCATTTCATTTGTGGTACTCTGCTCCTCACAGGATGTTTCATGATGATGAGCTGGAGGAGTCAGAGAAGTTCTACGTTGGTCAGCCTCGAGTCTTACTTCTTATTTATGCCCTGTACAATACGCTGGTGGCCCGGTCAGAAATGGTGTGCTATTTTGTGATCATCCTTAACCACATGATCTCTGCCTCCATGATAACCCTGGTACTTCCCATCCTTATATTCCTTTGGGCCATGCTGTCTGTTCCTCGGCCAAGCAAACGTTTCTGGATGACAGCCATTGTCTACACCGAGGTATGCTGCTGTTTTTGCAACCCCATGTCTAACACGGAGAAGTTAGGTTGTAAGCTTTGCATGGTCTCTTTTCTGTTTTTGATCTGTGGGATCAGGGGCCTTTCACCCTTCATATTAATGTAAATATTTGCTAAAGTCCTTGGCAATTTCTGTGGTATGAAAAGGTCTTGTTTGTGTTTTTCTTTACTGCAATGATCAATATCCTTCCTGGCATGTAAAGCAGTTATCACAAGAACAGACAATTTACAAACAGCTAATATAATTGGTAATCAAGAGACAGTATATACTGCTTGTGGTATCTCAGGTACCACGGAGCATCATCTGTTGGTAAATGTTGATTGACTTTATTATTGAGCAACTGTGAACTGTTGTTTCTCTGTAGCAATGAATATGCTTATTTATCTTTTCATAAAACTGATAAAGTAGTCCTATTTCTCCTCTCTTAAAGTCACAAGGCTATTATATCTGCCATGCTTAAAAAACAACCCAAGTGTGTTGTGTTTCTCAACAGGTGGCCATTGTCATCAAGTACTTCTTCCAGTTTGGCTTCTTTCCTTGGAATAAATACGTGGATTACACAAAAGATAAACCTTACCATCCACCCAATATTATTGGCATTGAGAAGAAAGAGGGTTATGTACACTATGATCTTGTTCAGCTCCTTGCTTTATTCTTCCACAGATCCATTTTAAAGGTAATTTGAGTTCATGTAGTTTCTTTATATTTCATTTTCTTTAGTCACCCATGTGATATCCCAACATTTGTCTTTCCCCTTGCGAACACGTGACTGAGCTTAGCAATGCCTGTGATAAATACCATGACAGAAATACAACGTTGAAATACTCTCTTCTTCTTTTTCCATTAGTGCCATGGATTATGGGATGAAGATGAGAAAGGAGACAGCTCCAGTAATAAAGAGGATACTGATGATGAGCTCTCTCTGACAGGAGGCAGGAGAGACTCTTCTTCCTCTTTGAAATCTGTCAATCTCGCAGCATCGGTGGAATCCATCCACGTCCACTTCCCTGAGCAGCAGACTGCCATCAGGAGGAAGAGCTCTAGCAGCGTATCACAGCTTTCGCACAGGTCCAGCTTCTCCTCACACAGATCTAAGAGAGGTAAACGTCATGGCATGTCTGGGATTTGAAGAGCAAACGTTCATTTCCCATAGGATCATCCTGCTAAAACCTTCTGCTGGTTGCTCTGGAGATCCCACAGGCTACTAAATACTGCTGCTCCTCAGTGAGGAAATAGGATATGAACCCAAGTATCTTCATGTTTGAACACACTCCAAGCCTTCTTAAAGTTCAAATGGAGAGCCATACTTCGTGATTCACTGTTTTTAAAATGACATTATCCAAAAGCTGGGAAAGGAACACTCAGTGTGGCCCAGATCCAGAATTTCTGGTTCAACATAATCTCCAGCTAGAGGGAATGCAAAGCAGATGTATTTTTCATATCTACATTCAGTGATACTTGAAGTGAGAAAAAGTTTTGATTAGGTATATTGAAACAGATTACCTATCCCATCTTATAAAAAGGACGGGCTTACTCTAGCCTGAATGTATATATTACCAATTGAGATGACTGAGTCAGATCTATCAAATCCTTGCCTTTATCGCTTGTCTTCTCTTTTTATAATTATTAATCAAATTTTGATCTGCCAGTGATTAAACCTTTACTGGCTGCTTTCAAGATTTTATCATATTGGAAAAAAAGCATAAGAATTAATTTCATATCTTTCAAATGTGGGACTCATATATGGGATGGAAGTCTCAAGATTTATTTCTTTCTAGTTTTTCTATTTAAACTTTGATTTTGGATTAGCTTCTTTGTCTTCTCTTTCCTTCCCTTTTTTTCAGGAAGTACCAGTACACGAAATAGCAGTCAGAAAGGAAGCAGCGTGTTGAGCATCAAGCAAAAATCTAGGAAAGAGCTTCTTATGGAAAAATTTCGCGAACAAATGATCAAAGCCAAGGCCTTTACAATTAAAAAGTGAGCAATGTGAGATGTTGTGTAGGTTTGGGGGTAGGTTCCAAACAGTAAAGAGAGCACAGTACTACTTCTCTTAATTCAAGGGGATGAATGGGTACGTATACAGTTCATTGTATACGGATGCTTTCACTCTAAGTCCCACTGGCTGAACATCAGACAAATCAGCAGTTGTTCAAATACCATCTGCCTGATAAAAAGCTAAATATCCTATATGAACTTGGTTGGCTATGTATATCTCTACTGAACAAATGCTAATACAGTGTTTTAGAAGCAGTCAGAACAAGGGACTGGTGTCTGTGAAGCTCTGTGAAGTCTGTCAGCACAGATCTTGGATATCTTTAGAAACACTAATCGTATCACACCCAGCCTTTCTTTTCTTCAGTGCAAGTTACAGTGTTGTTAAATGAGATTGTGGTCTATGTTGTTTTAGGACTCTCCAGGTGTACGTGCCCATCAGACAGTTTTTCTACAATCTCATTCATCCAGACTACAGTGCGGTGACTGATGTGTATGTGCTGATGTTCCTCGCAGATACAGTGGATTTCATCATCATTGTGTTTGGATTTTGGGCTTTCGGGGTATGTCATAGAAGCATCTGTTGGTAGGATTTACATGCTGTAGATGCTAAGTATCACGTGAGTGTCGTTCTTCCTCGACCACTCTGTTGTATTTTCCTTTTCAGAAACATTCTGCAGCAGCAGATATCACCTCTTCATTATCAGAGGACCAGGTCCCAGAGGCATTTTTGGTGATGGTTCTCATTCAGTTTGGTACCATGGTGGTAGATCGAGCACTGTACCTCAAAAAGACTGTCATGGGAAAGGTCATCTTCCAGGTCATCCTTGTTTTCGGAATACATTTCTGGATGTTCTTTATCTTGCCTGGAGTGACAGAAAGGTATAACCCTTATCATCAGACAATATGGGTTGAATACTTGTGCTCTACCAAGATGTTTGTATTTAAATTTGAGATGGTTATAGCTAAGGGGGGTTTCATGAAGGGGTTTCTTCTTGGTCTCATTTCTAAGGAGAATGTTGGAATACCTTTCCACAGCAGTAACTGTGGCCAACTTAAGTTTGAGGAAGAATTAATTATATAAGTATATACTGAAATATTCTCAATGTAGGCCAAAACGCAAGCAGGTAAAAGAGAACTTGCCTGTAATTGAGTGATTAGAGCCCTCAGCTGAGACAATGTTGGCCTCTGATTCAGTTCCCTACTCCCAAGACTGCTGCACACTGGTTTAGAAGAATGAGTAGAAAATGTCTTTCTCAGAGTGATTTATAATTTGGCACTTTCCTGGAATGTGTGAACTGTGGATTTAAATCTCCTTAGACTGAGGAATATCTAAAACCTGTGTATCTTCTGAAGATCAAAAGTTCTCCTCCCCTGCTCCTGCCACATGGCTCTAGAGGTGATGTGGAGGTGGTCACCTGCTGCGTGAAATCTTGTATCACGGCCTGGTCAGATTCACTCCCAAATCTAACATTTCATATTGCATGGCTCAAGACAGTTATCACCTCAGTCTGCACTGCAGAGGTGTTAAGGTTCTCTCTCTAGTGCTTGGCTAACTCCCCTCTTTCTTAGGTGTTTAAATTGACTTGAAATATTTACCTCACTCCGTTGACTATACAGGGAATTTGGGTGTGTCACCTGGGCAAATTACACTTCATTAACAGTCAAGTTACTTTGGAAGCAACAAAAAAACAAAATAGGTGCATAGTGTAAAAACAAAATAGGTGTAAGGTCTGAAAGGTCTTATTTCCTCTCAAAACCAAATGTTTTATTTTTCCTCAGTGCAGTAATAATTGTGCCCCAACTTGAAAAAAAATGCATTTTTCAAGTGGGTCTCCTATCTACCGAGCATTAAGAACTGATATGAAAATTTTGGTTTGATTTCATCACTTGAAAGGCAATAAAATTGTTTTGACTTCTTCCGTCCTTTGATGAAACTTTTATCAAGTCGTTAATCTCAAATCTTCATCTAAAACCTCCTGTATTCCTTCTAAGTCAGGCTGATTCTTAGAAGCCCCTTCAAATTTCTTAATGAAAATAGTTTTGCGGGGTGTAATTGAAAATATTGGGTAATGTCTGCTCACAAATCCTGTCCATCATGAGGTATCTCCTGCAGTTCCACTATGCTGTTGAACTGCAGTCAGAAGTGACACGTGTTCACCAAGATGGTCAGGGGGATGGAGAACATGATGTGAGGAGAGGTTGAGGGAACAGGGTTAGTTCAGTCTGGAGAAGAGAAAGTGAAGAGCTGTCTTCAACTACCTAATAAGAGGTCATCGAGAAGAAGCTAAGCTCTTTTCAGATAGGACAAGAGGCCACAAGTTGGAAAAACGGGAAATTCCAGTTAGATATGATGAAAAATCTTTTCACCAAGATGGTAGCTGAGCACTGGAGCAGGTTGCCCAGACAGATTGTGGGATCCCCATCTTCAGAGATATTCAAAACTCAGCTGGACAGGTCCCTAAACAATTTGGTGTAATTAGACCTGTTTCAAGCAGGAGAGAGTGAAAAAGATGATCTTCAGAGGTCACTCCAACTTAAATTCCTGTATGAGTTCGTGACCTGGAGGTGCCCCCATGAACACAAATAGCCATTAAAGCTGCCTAGATTCAGTCCAGACACCAGCCCTTTGAAAAGTGAAGAGAAGCAGTGTCATCTCAGGGCTCACAGAGGATGTGCCATCATGGGGGACGAGGGCAGACTGGCCTGCATGGGGTATCGAGGCACCTCTAGCATCCAAAGGGAGAAACCACTGCCCCAGAGCTGTCACTCTTTGGGCAGCCTTTTCTCAGACTCTCTCCCGTGACCCTGAGGTGACAACAGATGCTGTTTATAGACTTTCTCATCCAGCGTCTTTCAAATACTGTGTCACCACTGCAGTGGGGTCAGAAACCAAAGGCTTTTCATAGGTTGTCAGGAAAGGGAAACTGCCAGGAGCACAAAACGTTTCAAGCTAATTTGGTCATACACAGATACAAAGCTCATCATTTTCCTTTATCTGTCTTTTCCATTACAGGAAATTTAGCCAGAACACAGTTGCCCAGCTCTGGTATTTTGTGAAATGTGTTTATTTTGGCTTATCAGCATATCAGATACGCTGCGGATATCCAACTCGTGTTCTTGGCAACTTCCTCACAAAAAGTTATAACTATGTCAACCTGTTCTTATTTCAAGGGTAAGTCTAGACCTACTGACCTCCTCCTTTCTTTTGTGAAATAAGGATCTGTTATCATGAGATGCTGGGGTTATTCATGACTTTTCACAGGCTGCCAGAAATCAGAGTAAATTTTGCACAGCACAATCCACTGTATATGCCATGTGTCCCCTGTACTCCAGAAAAAATCAATTTCACGAATGCAGATTTTAGAAAAATCAGGTTCCCACTCTGAATCCAGAAGCTTGACATACCAGTCTGCCATTCAGGCCCCTGTGGAAGAGGTATTTTTAACAGTTCTTAGAAATCACCTCTGTGAACTGAGATAGAGGCTACGCATTGTGCTACTAAACAAGTAATGTTATTTGCTCTGCAGTCCTTAAAAGTAGTAAGGCATTGAATCCCAAAGAAGCCATGCACCGCTTGGTGTAAGGAGGTATAAAACAAATTCCCACCATCCTACAGAAAGGATATTCCTGCACTCCGCTCCCAGATCAGAGGAATTTGGGGATACAAGAAAGTCCCTCTTGTACCGTTCCATCAGTGGCTCAATCACAAGTATTGGGCGTAGTGATGCAAAAGTGTGTTTATGGCCTGACAAGGATATCTAGAGGGACATGAGCTAACGCAAAAGTTCCATCCCTAAAACATCAGTACTAACTGTGCAATCTCAGAATATTATTGTATTTGTGTTTGCAAAAATTCCCATTAAACTATCTTTTAACATCGGCTTAATTCTCCATCTTGTCAAATATACACTTTCTGTGCTCGTTTAATGTGATGCCCCATTTCTGATGAGTTATCTGCTGTGGTCTCCCTTCAGGTTCCGCCTGGTTCCATTTTTGACTGAGCTGAGAGCAGTAATGGACTGGGTTTGGACTGATACCACTCTCAGTCTTTCCAGCTGGATCTGTGTCGAAGATATCTATGCTCATATATTCATCCTGAAGTGTTGGCGAGAGTCAGAAAAAGTAAGGAAGCCCTATATGAGTGATCCATGCAGAAAAGAAGAGAAATAATCATGAGTCCCTAAATAATTGGGAAATCCACCATAAATAGAGTTTGTTAGAAGATACACTTGGTGTTTATGTTCAGAAATATTCAGACTATTGGGTACTTTATGTTAGTTGGCAGTCACCACAAGTGAAATTTCAAATGGCTTCTCTTTTGTGTCTAGCTGATTTTTCCACCGTTAACATGAACTCTGCAAGCATATGCCTGTTAGCTTAATTGCATGCCTGATTTTCAGGGCCAAAGTTGAAAGTCCTGGTATTTGCACAGGCTCACTTTGTCCATAACAACTAATTGAGTAACCCGCAGTAGCAGGGAAATTGTAGCCGAAGAGAAAGGCCAGTAGAAGGAAGAGCTCGTGCCTCCACGGTGTAGGTCCCAGGGACACCTGGTCCGTGTAACTGCAGAGGGAGCACAGCTGGCTCCTTTATCTCGGGAGAGTCCCTGCACATCCAGAACTGAACTGCAGGCCAGATAAACCCACCATCTGTCTGACTGAAATTTCAGTCTCTTTAAATCATTTAAGCTTCGGTTCAAATTAAACTTGTAAATTCTGGATTCCTTATAACCACTATAAAGATTGCAACCATATGCTTGCTTATTTTGCCAATTTGAAAAAGAAATTAAGCATTCTTTTAAGAATGACCCAACCAGTCAGAAATTGTACATCTGCAATGAAACGGCTGTATTTTTAAGTGTTACTGACGTATTTCTACTTTTATTATAATCCTGTCTCTTAATAGCAATTACTTTCCAAGTATGTCACTTAGGTTAGCTCAGAACTGAAGTGCCCACAAATCTTGTATATAGGCTTTTTCTGTATGACTTCCATTTCTGCCATGAATGGAGTGTCATCAGAGGCTTCGGGAGTCAGAGAAATAATAATCTAGTTCTACTTTGACTGTCCATCTCACTGCATTTTTTACGCTACAACAGGATCACTCTGTATTATATGTAGCATAGATCTGACATGGGAAGATTTCCACATCTGAGCTAGCATTTGTGTGCTAATGCCATGTAGCAAAAGGACTACCCATGACTTTATGAGTGTTGTTCAAGGTGCTTTGATTCTGTCTCTCTCTCACATTGAGTGGTATGCCTGAGTACTTTGACTGCTAGAGGCTCTCTGAGCTGTTCTGTAGCATCATTAAAGGTGCCTGAACTAATCTCATACAGACAAATAATATACTATATTTTAATGAAAACAGTACTCTGTAGTGCAAGACAAATGACCTGATAAACTGCTTTTGAAAAGTAACTAATTTGTTTTAAATACAGCATTATATTACAAATTTAATATTCTCCTAGGGCTTTATGGATTCATGTTGTAAAGCAAGAGCAATTTCCTGAAAGCCAGATTCCTGGCGTGTGTTTGAGGTACGGTGCAATACAATGCATCTTTATTTTGCGCATGCACTGTGCAGAATTAAATCCTATAAGAGAATACACCAAAATAAATTGCAGTGATGGTAAGGCATTTTACAGGATGCTGTTAAAGCATTCAGTCATGAGGCCAATAACAGAGGGTGGGAATTATGGACAAGGCAGAACAGACATGCTGTGTGATCTGCTTTGAAAAGAGAAGGATAAAAGCAAGGTCACTTTTGGTCTCAGAAGCTAAGGGAAGGATGTCACATCCACTGGCTCAAGACTTTAGGAACAGCAACAAAACTCTAAACATTATTTAAATGCAGTTGGTGTGGGATTCACTAGAAACAGATTGGATTGAGCCTGTGAACAACTCTTAGAAATACTGTGTGTAAAGTGTGAAATGAATGTGGAGGTAGTGCAATATCAGACAATCGGGCTGATTGTGCATGTCAGTTTCTGGCAAACAATTTTATTATTTTTTTTTTCCTCTGAAATACAGTTTGCAGCATTTCAGGCTATATGATATGAATTCTGCCTTAAGGAGCTTTGAGATAAGACTTTTTGGAAAGACAAATACGAGAAAGTGGGTCACTCCCCATATCAGTTTTTTGAACAAATTGTTGTATCACTATTGCTGCTATTATTTTACATTTGGTCCCTGTGAGTTCATGCTTGCACTCATTCAGACAAAAAAATTCAAATTGCCTGTGGTGGTTTCCCCTCGGCTGGACGCCAAGTGTCCACCAAGCCGCTCTATCACTCCCCTCCTCAGCAAGGCAGGGAGGGGAGAAACTAAGATGGAAAAACAACCCCAAACTCTTGGGTCAAGATAAAGGCAGTTTAATGTAGCAAAAGCAAAAAAGCTGCGTGTGGAAGCAAAGCAAAAACCAAAAGATTATTCTCTACTTCCCATCAGCAGGCGATGTCCGGCCACTTCCTGGGAAGCAGGGCTTCAGTATGTGTACTCCTTACTCTGGAAGACAAACATTTAAAAAAAAAAAATGAATGCCCCCACCCTGTTCCTGCCCCTATCTCTCAGTTTCTTATTGCTGAGCAGACATCATATGGTATGGAAATATCCCTTTGGTCAGTTTGGGTCAGCTGTCCTGGCTGTGTCCCCTCCCAAGATCTTGCCCACCCCCAGTCTGCTGCTGAGGGGGGGGGAAGGAAATGTTGGAGAGACAGCCTTGATGTGTGCTGGCACTGCTCAGTAGTAGCCAAAACGCTGTTGTTTTACCAACACTTTGCTAGCTACCAATACACAGCACCATGAGGGCTGCTGTGGGGACAATTAACTCCATCTCAGCCACACCCAATACATTCCCCTACCCAATTTTTCCCTTCTTTATGGCAAGACCACGGAGGTTTACGGTATTTTTCACACCAGGCACACACTTAACATGGGTTCATTTGACACTTTTCTCTGTTGTCACCAGAAATTCAGTGTCTGTGCAGATTTGGCTAAAAATCTCAAAATAACTGGCCTGGCAATGGGTAGCAAATTACCACAGAAGGTGGGAATCCTTAAGATCATTATATATTCACCCATTAAATCATACCAAGTGTTCCACTGATGGAAGAGACATTACCATGTTGCTGTTTGCTTTTGCAGAGATATCCCCAACCAAGAGGCCAGAAGAAAAAGAAAGTTGTGAAGTATGGAATGGGTGGCATGATTATCGTCTTGCTGATTTGTATTGTCTGGTTCCCACTGCTCTTCATGTCTTTAATCAAATCTGTTGCAGGCATCACCAACAAGCCTCTAGATGTATCAATCACAATAACTCTAGGAGGTTATCAGGTAAAAAAGAAGGAAGATGAAAAGCAAACTGTTTTTCCGCTGTGTTTCCTTGTGCTATTTCTTATTCCCTTCATTGAATTGAATTATCCTGCCTTATGCAAGAGATCAGATAAGCTCCCACAAATGTTCCCTTTTGGGTTTAAAATCACATTAGTTTATCACTGATGTAAAATATTATCTTCATTTGCAAGTTAAAAACAGAACCTACTGGCAGTAGGATAAATTATCCTACATGGGGTAACTGCCTACAGGTCCACATGGTAAATGTACGATCATTGGAGGTAGCTTGTTTCTCAGTGGAATAAGATCATAAACTTCTCCTATTCAATTGAGTACTGTAATTGTCTTGGACTGTGATGCACAGGATGCTGTGCTGTGTATGTAGCACCTGATATGAAGTAAATGTGACAAGTGTGTGTTCTTTTGTTTCCTAGCCTATTTTTACAATGAGTGCTCAACAGAGTCAGCTCAAGGATTTGAATCAGACTGGTTTCAATGCGTTTCTGGGAAGCTATAGGGGTAACACTGTAAGTGAAATGTAGAATACCTCGTTACTTAACAATGTGTGCATGTTTCCAAGGAGGCTTTTTGTGAGTTCTGTTTGTGTAGTTATAAATGGTCAGCAGCGCTGCCATCAGTTGGGAGATGTTTCCATAAAGAGTATTTGCATGAGTTACGGTTCGGACAGATCATTTGTCAGGACAGGGATGGGTTATGGTGACACAAGTTACCATTAATCAAGACATCTTTGCACAAAATCATGGAAGACAGAAACCCTAGTTGTCCTGTCACCTGAATAAAAACCTGCCTTCTAAATGACACAAACCTTCAGGAGATGTGATGCTGTTGGTGTAGCGCCAAAACAAACGTGCTCGTGCTGTGGGGACACAACAGCGTTGGCACTTTTAAGCCCTGTGCTCCTTCCTATAGCACACGCAGCTTTCACCTCTCAGTGAGGAAATGTGATGCAGTCAAAAGAAAGCGTGTATGGCCTAGAAGAGTTTTGACATGAAAATGTCAAAACATAAACATTTAAACATAGTCTCACTGTTTCATGGTGCAACGTGCACAAAGTTATCACAAGTTTCTGCTGCAAAAAGACAAGTAATTAATAGAAGCTGTTGCATTACTAAAGTAACAGAGGTTTGATCAGGTATAACTTTGAAAGAAGTGCTTGCTTCTAGCTCATTCAAAAATTAACAGCTAGGTCCCTACCAAATAGCCCATGTATTATAGCAGTAATATTGCAATCTTGATCCACTTTGAAAGCTACCACTTTGAAGTTGTCTTATCCTTTGCAGACATCTTTCTATGCTGAAAGATGCTTAATAAAAGACAGAGTAAAATTTTAGTAAAAATGTGAAAACTACTAAGACATGCTGGGTGTCGTGTGCCTCCTGAGTATTACCAGACATTTCTGGCAGTGTGAGCCATCCCACAGTGGCCAGGCTTGGTATGTACATTGTACAGTGACTTATATTTTGTGGTGACCCCTGATACTATTTGGAGTTTCAGTGAAGCTGTGAAGTGTCAGAGGTACCAGTCAAAAACGGTGGGGACTGAAAGCTTTATAGCCTACTGGATCCACAGATACTAATGGGGTTATTAGAGACTAGGGACTTAAGATAATTTTAAATAGACTCTCCAGAGTTTATCTGATGAACTTTCAGACTCATTTTGGCTACTTGACCATCATACTTTAAACAGGAGGGCTGTTTTTGTTTTACCTTCTTGGCTTGGCTATACTTTGTTTATTTCCCTCCCCCCCTAAAGCCCCAGTTGGTACTTGAAGAAAACAATCAGCACAAACCACTGCACTTAGAATTAATCGAACATTTACAGTTCTGCCTGACTGGAAAATGTGGTTCTATGTCTTGTGAATATCACCACACTGAAATTTTCTTTTCCTCTTCTGCACCTACAGGCTGCTTTGCAGTTTCTAGAGGGCTATGGAAAAGAAGATATCACTCTAGCAGATCTAGAGGGAAATTCCAACTCTTTATGGACCATTAGCCCTCCCAGTAGAGAGAAAATGATACAAGGACTGCTGGATTTTTCAGCTGAGTTCACTGTAGTTCTTTCATGGAGCATTCAAAGGTAATTAATATGACTGTTATGAGGTTAGTGGATCATCTGCCAAGCATTCATTCAGCAGAACAGTTCCATGCAGCAATTTTGATTTAGTTTTTCAGAAAATTTTATTGTACTGCAGAGCAAAAGAACCCTGAAAGTGAGGAGGGAGGACGGCAGAAAGAAGTAACCTTTGTTACACGGGAGAACAGTTGTTGCCTGCAATTCTCAAGAATAAAAAGAGAAGTGGAGCTGCTTCCAAGTACATTATTTAAAAAGGCAGGGTGGAGTTTTCACTGGGACTTGAGGGGAAGGAGGGAAAAGTAAGAAAGTTTTAGGCAGTTTTAAATGGAGATATTCAAATAAACTGCCCCAAACAACACCCTTGTTAGCATTAATGGGAACTGAATAGTTAGACCTACTTAAAGCAGAAAAACTACAAGGAAATACAAACAGCAGTGTTTGGTCCTCTTATTAAGGGAGTCTGGAACTGACACAAAACTATTTTTTAAATACACATATACTCAGAGCCTTTGTTATGCAAATAGCATAACAATGGCGCAGATCTGTTTTGTTGAGACCTTTGCCTGTTACTTGTGGTTCCTTTGGCCTCAGTGAACTATTACTTTACAATGAAGTTTTTGCAAGAGACAGGCTAGAATATAAAGTAGTTGCAGGCTAGAGCACACCCAGTCACTGGGGTGGTTTGTTGGCTACTGTCTGCCAGCTAGGATCCCTATAGACTGCTGGATTAAACTGGAGTTAAGTCATCACTCCGTGGAAATTAAGCACCTTTTCAGCCCCAGTATCTACCTGTTCTGTTGGAAGTAGACGCTGGATTGTTATAGCAATCCTCAGCAAGAGACTGTGCACAAGAAGCAGGTCAGCTGAATCGCTGTGGGAGCTCTGAACATGCTTGGTCAGTCCTTCTACAGGCAAAAATAGAAAAATAGGCTTGTAATGAATCTGCACCCTTAATTCAACTTTATTTGACCTCCCCCCCCTTATTTTCCTGGAAGCATAGAGTATTAGCTAGTGAATTACATCACTCCATCATTTCTGAGCCGTATATTAATTTTTAATATTGCTACTCTGTTTGCCCATATGCTTGCATAACTACAAACATTCATACGCTAGTTGAAAGAGACCTTTTTTGCTCTCAAATTATATCCTGTGGATTACATTGTGACTGGGAATGACTGAAAGTGGTAAAGACTTACCACAGTGACCTTCCACTTTTTCTCCATAAAGGGAAACTGCTGTCTTTCATCTAGGCCAGGAGACCACAAGCAGCTGTAAGATGAACCTTTTGTGTCTCTCAGGCAGCACACACGCTTTCTGCCTTTGCACAGCATCTGCTGGGGACGTTTCTCTGCAGCCCCCAGCAGCCCAGGAGCTGCCTCACGCAGCTGCTGCATCCCGACCGCAGGGCATGGCACAAGGCATTGTGCGAAAGCTGATCCTGCCCCAGCTGTGTTCTGCAGTTGGCGTGAAGACGGGGTGGGGGAGGTACGGAGGTCCTATCAGCCTGATAGCCACAAGTTGCTGCTGGGCTGAGATGGGGTTTCGGGAAGCTGTAGCTGACTGCAGCATCCTTAGCTGTCCCAGCACAGAATGTGTGGTAACGCAGACAGTCCCGTTGCCTAAAGTTAAAGCAGGTGTGCTCCCTTTCCCATTCTGTTTTGACTGTCATAATGAGAAAAATTATATTAATCCATTATCATTGTCCTATAGTACATACACAGTCACAGTCAGAAAAAGCCACTGTTAAGGCTGCTACATGTCCTCCGTGGGAGAAAACACCATCTGATGTATAGGTAGCATGATACTTGCTTTAGCAAAGACTGGCATAGCCAGGGTCAGTGCAGTTAGACGAGTTAGACAACTAGCTCTAGCGATCAGCAAAGAAGTGTTCAGGTTATGCTCTCATTGTAGGTTGACAATGTGTTTTTTCTTTTACTTAAAACAGAAATCTCACCCTTGGTGCCAAAGCTGAAATAGCATCGGATAAACTTACCTTTGTGCTACCAGAGAACACCAGAAGAGATATTGCTACAATGATGTCTGGACAGCAACTGGAAAAGGTGTAAGTTATTTTCTTTGACTATTTATGTGTAAACCTTCCCTTTTTAAACCTAATTTCCTAAGGAGGCCAGGCTTGCAGAACTGTATCATTTGTCTGCCTATCCTTTCCCCTCTAATAACTTTGGAGCCTTGCTCACAGAGGCCAACAGCACTGAAGTCACATAACAGTAACATTAAAGGTAAAAGCTTATTTCCTGTGATAAATGTAGGCTGAGAAGACCATGAATACTGGAACATCACCAACAAGCATGGTGAAGCTATTAGTTACTTTTCTTTGATTTATTGGATAAGCACAAGTTCATTACAGTATATTCACAGTTAAACTCTCCTTTGAGTTACTTCAGTTCGACTTCATTTGAGGATGTTGTATTGATTAATTTTTTGTTCTAAATAACAATCCAGACTGTATTTCTCATTGTTATTGTTGAATAGTATTAGATTGGCAAGGAAGTGTTAAATCAACTGCGGTCGAAGGGTAACATCTGCAGTGGTTTCTGACATCAGATCTTTTCCTGTAATGGAAATACGCAAGGCAGGAAGAGCATGCTCTTCTCATGAATATCAAACATCATCCTATGGATATAGCCTTATAGCATTAACAGCAGTGGTGCGTCCTTTCAGATTTGAAAGGAGTCTGGCTCTTCCTCTTCTGCCTGCTCACTGGGGATTACTTTACAGAAGTAGTCTCTAAATACCGCTAAGCCAACACGACATCCCTGAAGGCCACCTGATCTGATTTGTGGCCACAAGAGTTGAAAAGTTAAAGCTAAGGCCAACTGGAAGAGTGAAAACTCTGAGAGGTTCATATCTGTGAGTAGGTGGAAATGACATTTGTCTTTTCTGTGCACAACTATTATTCCACACCCACACTCACTTGTACATCCAAACAGACTGCTGTTGCACATCTGAACATTGCATTTAAAAATATTTTATGCCTTTCTTACTTTTCTGCCATGTGAGGATATGGGAATATTTCCTAAGGTGATGTAGTGTCAAGGAGGGTAGAGTTTGCTCTTTTGTGGGAAGACGTAATTCATTCATAGAATCATATAATCATAGAATGGTTTG